TCTTGTTTTTTGTGAACACATCTTAATATTATCTGATTCAAAAAAAAAAACATTCTTTCCATTTCAAAAAACTAAAAGATCACTAATATACGAGATTGATTTAGGATAAATAGTTACATGAAGGTAGCAAAATAAATATAGTTTACTATATAAAACTTCAATTTTTTTTAATTATCTTATCACATTCAAAATAATATAAGAGATTTATATGTATCTCATTAAACTTACCATTTATAATACTTTCCAAACCATTTATCCATATATAGTTTTTCGTTAAAGTCATTCTTTTTAATTTTAATAATTAAATTTTAAAATTCCTTGTGATATAGATATTTTAGTACTATCACTATAACTTGTTAGGTATCGAATTCTAGCTTATTTATTAGTTAATAACAAATTGTAATTATTTATGTAATATCACGAGTATTTAAAATTCTAAGTTTTTCAAACTTTAGATGATAAGTTGTTGCAGATAAATCTTGAAAATAATGAAAATTGTACAAAATTTTTTTTATACTTTTTATTGACCATTTGTAAAAGGATATGTATATGTATATATATGCACTTTTAAATTATTAACGTATTTATTCAAAATGATTATAAATTTTTTAATTAAAAAAATTTTAAATGATATGTTATAAAGAAAAAATATAAATAACTACTTTATTCTAATTTCAATATTTTTCTTATTGTACTTTATATATTTTTAAAACATTTTCACCTACTTATACTACTTTCTTAATATTATAATACATTAATTTCTGAAAGGAAAATTGTATTCTCTACTACTTTAAAAGCTAAGAAATATAAAAATATGCTTAGTTTATAGTGGTTTGACAAAAAACTTTATACTAATTGTGAATTTTAGTTTTGCATGTGCATTTAGCACTACTTGTTTGTACTAGTGATAATACCCAAAATGCATTTTTTACCATCTAATAGTTGATATTCATTTACTACTGTTGTGTATAATATTCATAAACTTATAAATTATTATTTTAAGTGAAATATTTTGCAATGAGCTATTTAGCAAATCAAACTAGTCACTTCATCCATAAGAAGCAACCTTCCATTATTGTAAAAAATAACACGTGCTTATATTTGATTTTTTCACTAATATTTTATATTATTAATACTAGGTTATAACTGAAAACTGAAGAATCATTACTTTTTCTTATACTTTATGTATTTCAAATGCTAATACATGCAAAAAGATTTATGCTATCAATATCCTTTATATATCTACTGATTGATGGATGTTTGCTATCTATCTAGACACCCTTAAATCCGATATAAAAAGAGAATAGATGGTTTTCTTGCTCGCACGATACAATCACTCCTGTTTGGAAGCATCATCTAGAGCTGTTACCACAAGAATGCTGAAACTGAAGTTCTAAAAGCAACTAGACATTTATCTGAAAAGGATTTCTAAATCTTACTCAAGCAATCTGTTAAAAGTGTCTTATGGCAATCCTGGTTTGGAATCCTGTCACCTGCACCTCTGTGACAGCAAGGATCCGTACTGTGATCAGTACAGAATATATTAGAATCTAGTATGGTGAGCAAGGAGCTTAAGTGGGAGCAAGGTGTCAGGAGCAAGGAGCTCGAACTGGGCTAAGCGCCTTGTTCAAGTGTAGATCATCGCCAAGTCGTCTTGAAGCTCATCCGCTGGAACCTCCGGCTGGAAAGACTAGAATCTAAACTCCCGCTACTCGCGCGCCTGCAACGCAGCTTGTGCAAATTCAAATTTGAAATTTCAAACGTATTCGTGGCCGGGCTCTGCGAGTGGCGAGTTCTCGGCCTGCATGCCCGTCTCGTTCCAGTAATCCACGAGAATGAAATCCTCCACGAACGGCCCCTCCTTGAGCTTCGCCAGCACCACTTCCGGGCTGTTGTCAATCAGCTCCACCTCGTCGATCCAGCGGAAGAAGGCCAGGTAGCCGAAATCAAACCCCCTCGCTCGAACCGGCGAGAAATTGGGGCCGCCACCATCGAAGCTCGACGTCCTGCTCGCCTCGGCGATCTCCGAGACGAGCTGCTCCCTGCCATCGCCGCACACCCCGTCCTTGAGCCGGCACAGCACGATCCTCTTTGCCTCGAAGAACTGGTCGACGTGCTTCTCGACGCTCGACTCCCAGTCCAGCGCCAAGGCGGACTCGCAGATGGGATTCACGAACTTGTCCATGCAGTAAATCTGCGCTGGGTGGAGCGAAAACGCGGCCAGCGCCGCCTTGTTCTGGTGCCGCGAGTGGAGGACGTGCGTGTAGCCACCGCTGAGAATTTCGTGCGCCGGCCATATAGACAGCACCGGTCCGGCCTTGAGGTGGAGGACGCCGTTGATGGCCCGCAGCTTGTTAAGTTGTTTCACCATCTCGGCTCGCTTCTCGGCCGAAGCCCAGTGCCGGACCTTGAAAAGAAGGACGTGCTCCACCAGGTGAACGATCGGCATCCTGGAGCTTCACTGGAAATCTCTGGAAGAAAACCAAGAGCACAAGCGTGAGAATCGTTGTCGCGCTGTTGCTTGGCCATCTTGATCACAGCGCTACTTTCACTGAAGGGAGATTTGCTTTTCTCACTCACTTATCGAAACGACAGCATACCTCTTCGTAAACGTCTCCAGAAACTAAAAGATAAGTTTAGAATGCCGGAGAGTGGGATTGAACCACCGACCTTGTGATTTTCAGTCACACGCTCTGACCAAATGAGCTACTCCGGCATCGTGCTGCCCTCATGAAGATATTCACAAGCCTGAGCATGCTTTATGCATTGCTAAAATTAATGAAAAACAGCAAAAAGGTAATAAAATGGTCGGGAAACTCTAAAAAAAACGTTTTTTGTTTCACTTCCAGACGTCCTTATGGTCGAATTTATATCCGGGTCATGATTGGCGGGGCAACAACAATATAATGTAGCAAAAAACTTCCAAGCGCATGATCCTTCCAAGATCAACCTAGGTCTGTTTCTTCTTGAAAAAATCTAGACTAGAGCTTGCAGCAAGAATACAATGCAACATTATGCCAAAAACAAAACCATAGACTAGATGACTACCATACAGCTTTATGCCAGAGAGTGGGATTGAACCACCGACCTTGTGATTTTCAGTCACACGCTCTAACCAAATGAGCTACTCTGGCACCTTGTTGCCCTACCAATGAACTTCGCGAGCCTGAGCAAACTTTGTACACCTGCATTGTGAAGTAAAATCAGACAAACCAAAACTAAAACCAAGAGCTCCTGTATAAAGTGTTCGATCATAAGCACCGGATGAATAGTAAAGAAGCACTTACTCTGTTAGCAGAGGGATAAACGCTGAGCACAATCCACGATCAGTAACAACATGATAGACTAATTTCGCAGCGAGGAAATCATCCAATCTTAAAACGAAAGGATTCACAGTCCTCCCTGCTTGGCTCTTGCGTCGGTCCACGCCTGAGCAATCGTTTTCTTCATGTTATCGTCGCCCTCGTCGTACATATTCTGCAACAACAAGGTCGCGATCGATCCAAAACCATGCAGCCATGGAAGTTACCTTCATCAGGTCCATGATGCCAGCCATCGGATTCTTCCCTTCGTCCGGCTTAAACTGTGCATCCACAATCGATCGTCTCAGACAAGAGAGAAAAGCTTCAAACGAGATCTTCAAACGAGAAGAAAGCAAGTGAGTCGCTAAGCGAGATCGAGAGCTCACCTGCGAGGAGAGGGAGGATTCGTCGCCGGCGAGGCCGATGCTTGCGATCTCGGTGGAGAGCAACGATTTCACTCGCGGCCACTTAGCTTGATCCAGCAGCGCCTTGAGCTCCTGGAGATCATCCATGACGTCTGGCGCCATCAATCCGCTCCACAGCGAGAGCCTTTGTCAGCTTCACCTGGAAGAAATCCACCACTGGAGCTTAGAACAAGGAAAGAAAAATCTCACAAAGCTAGACAGGGACGAAGAAAGCTTGTTCTAGTACCTGAGACGTAAGAATCTGGCCGAGAAGCATCTTAAAGTTGCGAGCTGCAAAGCTTTGCTGCTGATCAATCGCGGCGGCATGGATCATCTCTAGAACCTGGGAGTCGTCTTCTCCAGCTTTCTCCATAGCTAAAGCCAGTCCCTGGAGCAAGAAAACCACAATGATGCTGCTAAGAACTCGAAAGAAAACGATCGATTACTCACTGACTTGCAAAGCCTTCGCGGAGAAAGGTTGGATCGCCACACGCTCCCGGAACTCCTCCCTGGAATGCCTCACATCCCCAACAAACCCGTAAGCTCTGGCTCTCATGAATCTATACTCGAGATGCTCCGGCTCCAACTCGATCCTCCTTCCCAGAACCTCAATCGCCTCCCTCACCTCGCCATTCTCCATCCTGAGCGAGAGCAAATCCTTGTAAGCCACCGGGTTGCCCGGCTCCTCCTCGATCGTCTTTAGCACCGCCTTGAGCGTCCTCTCATTGGCCTTTGCGCGAAGAACCCTGGACGGAACCTTAGAGCTCTTCCCTGGCTTCTCGGCTACCGCCCTCTTCTTCTTGGCGAGATCAGGAATCGCGGAAGCCGGCAACCCAGCCACATCGTCGACAGGCGGGACGGCCTCGGCTCGGGCGGAATCGCTGACGCTGAATCCCGAGACCAGGCAAAACGCCGCAGTGCCGAGCAAAATCCCTGCATCCCTGCTCAATCGATCCCACACCCCGGTCGCCAGCTTCGCGCTGCCGCTGCCGTGATTCCTACAGCAAACCGCTGCCCTGGAAGCGCGAAATCCTGGCAGCTGGTGGCGGCCGAGCGCTGGGAAGCACCGCATTCGCGGAGGAAGAAAGCATCACTCTAGGTTTAGGGTTTAAGGCTCGTTTGATCTCTCTTCTTAACGCGCCAAGGAGAGATTGTAGAGAAAATACAAATAGATTGGATGTGCTCTTCGCAGGAAAACTTCGTTTACTTACAAAGAGGGCGAGCATCGAGAGCTTTTATTTCTTTGGGAGTGGCTTCTTCTCGTCGTCAATGCTGGCGCTACCCATGGCCTCGAGCTCCTCAATGCCACGATCGCCATCGCCCTCCTCTTTCTTTGTCACCGCCGGGCGCTGGGCATCCAGTTCGTCGTCTGGATCATAGTCCGGATTGAGCGATTTCGGTAGCGAAGCTCTCCAAGCACGGCTTGCAAGCCATTTCGATCGCTGCCCATCCGAGTAGAATCCCGGCGATCGCGATCTCTAGGCCTAAAGCTTGGTGGCAAACTAAACATGCTAAAGGTAAATAAAATAAACACGTGTCAGGGATCTAACTTTAGGTCAAGTTTATGGCATTGTTTAACTTATACTCGAGCAGCATCTCTCCAAGAGCTCTCTCTTGATCCCTTCTCTGCGTTTGAGCTCCCAGAAGATCACGTAGTGCGCACGAACAGCGGTGGAATTGCCGTAGGCTATGAAGTGCACGACCTCGATCCCTGCCTCTTTTAACACCTCCTTTACCACATTTTGGAGCTCTTGCTCGTCGACCATCTCGTCTTGGACGCTCAGAACCGCGTTCTTGCGGTGGCTGAAAGCCAGCTGAGGAACTCCATGGAAAAAACTTGATACTTTCATCACGTCCCCGAGGTATCGATATAATCTTTAAAGAAAGAGAACACTGATTCATAGCGTGGTTATTAGGAATTCTCAACCATTCATTTAAGGAACTTATAACCAAACTAAATAAAGTTGCAAGTGAAAATAAAAGATGGCAAAAGCATTGTGGCATTGATGGTTGCCCACCTTCTATTTTGCATAGAGCCGCTAAAAGCAATCTCCTCTAAGTAAATGTTATTAAAGACATTTAATTTACATCTTGTGTTTATCGCAACCTTTGCTCAACACCATTTACTCATTTCAGTCAGTCAGGATCCCAAGTCCAATTACGGAATTTGCTTTTGTTTTCTCTCCGCCAACATCTAGTGAAACCATAAATTCAATGGTGGAACCCGGCAATGTAATTTATTTTTATAGTTTCAACTGGAGGTAACTAGTTGATAGACGTTGATCGGGTGATTTACATCCGGCCCTCCACGAAAGGCCTTGATAGCAACATCTCGAGCAACTCCAGCAGTAGGATGGAACTCATCGAAGAAAATGTGTTGCGATGGATTGGAGCAATATGGAACTTTGGGCAGACAGAAGAAAGAGCCTCTGTAAGGACCGATACCACAGCAAGCAGTCCCTGTGACCTTGAATCCTGCTCAAGAAAGTAAAGACATAAAACCCGAGACCCGGAAGTCCAAAGGATAAAACTTGAGATGCTCACCGTGCTGGCTTGGATTGTTGTAGATGGACATGAACGAGTAGTACGAGTCCGTGTAGACGGTCCTGAGACCCGGAAGAGATCTCTCCACCTCCACGAGGAGGGACTTGAGTCCTACATTGTAGTCCACCGCGAGTTTGTTCACAAAGTCTATGCACTCGCCGTTCTTGCTGCCGAATTTGAAGAGGGACTGGGGGCAGCAGCCGATGGGAGGCATGCTCACGACATGCAGCTTACGAGCACCGATGTTGTATAGTTCCTGGAACGAAGAAGGAAAGGATTTAGAGCTTCGTCCCGTGACGAAGGCTTTAAGTTTTGGAAAGCAACGAACCTGCAATTGCGATTTGAGGCTGGACAGCAGCAAGGCCTGGAATTGAGCGGGAGTTCCTTCCCTCCGCCTGACGAGATAATTGTTGAGATAGTCGTTGCTTCCCGTGACAACAGAGAACAAGGCCTTGCTGAGAAGCGTCCTCGTGCGTTCTTCTCCAATAAGCTCTTGGATTTCCTGCTTAACTTTGTGCATGCTTTTCAGTTGAGAGCCCATTGGCATGTTCTGCCCCTGCAAGAAAACGCTCCAGAGCAAGGGTCAGCTCCAGATTTGCTGTTGACAAGAACTTACGAAAATCTTTCCAGTGAAATCAAGGATTCCAGAGCCTGAGGACGCAAAGTTGACGCCGAGGAGAAGCTTGCTGCCTTTGGTAGAGGGGTCCAGATAAGCGGGAACGAAAGGCAGTCCCAGAAGCTCAGCTGTTCACCACGACGGGAAAAGAACAAAAACAAAGTTAACACACAAAAAATCTTGCAAAGGTGACTTACTCAGGTAGTCGACTGAAACTCTCCCATTGCTGAATCGCCCCGTTGCAATGTGCGTGTCAAAGTCGACTCCATACGGATGGAAGTTGCTCTTGGCAAGCGTGAAGAGATGGTTGTTGTTGCCAACGTCAACCAGGGAGTCTCCAAAGATGAAGTACGCGGGAACGAGCGGAGAGCTCGCATTTGCTGCCCAAGACCCAGAGATCCAAAGGATCCACTGGAGCACGACGGCGAGCAAAATACGAGAGAGTTGCATCCTCTCGCCCGTTCGGATCCTTTCCCCTCGCCCGCTGCTTATATTCGTGTCTTTTCCTCTTCTTTTACCTGTCGAGTGAGGAAGGTTGGTGCTTTTGCTTTCGATTTTTGGTTCTGTCGTTCATGTGACTCCATTAAATGAGAGTTCTAAACTTGGTTATTTTTGACCCGCCAAAGGAGCACCGCTGTATTAATGTTGTCAATATGCAATTTACGCTTCCAACAACAATTACCTGTTTAGGAGCCTCACGTCTACAGTAAAGCTCAGTAGAACTGTGCTTTAAGTTCCTGAGCACGGTCGAGAGGAGCGCCGCATGAGTCACGAAGCCAGTCGAAGATTGACAGGAATGTATTCTTCTCACAGGGTGCCAGAAGCTTTAAAATAAGCCCAAAACGCTTCACTTTCACCAGCCCGCCAAGCACTGCCATTGTTCCCTGGAAGAATCTTCCCGTTAAGGTAGAAGAAGAGATAGAAAGATAGGAACTTACCGCGGGATCGTGTGGCATGAACGCAGCTTGCAACGACTTTAGAATGGTCCTCAGGACTTCCACGCTCAGGTTCTCCTTGAAAATCCCCGGATACTCGTCAATGTGGATCCTGCTGATGAACTCTCTAAGCAGCTGTGATTGGCCTTGTAGTCGTTCACACGATCGCTGGAACTCTATCGCGGTCCTTGGCTTTTCAGGAACTGTCGTTGCCCTGGCTTGTCTGACGTTCCGTTCAGGAGCTATTGGACGCTCTTGTGGTTGAGACACTGGAATGCAAGCTCCTTCGCCAATCTGAGTCTTTATTTCGTGCATCGAAGGGCTCCTTCCCGAGGTTTCTTCAAGATTCTTGTCGCTGCCAGCCTCTTCCTGGGATGACTCTTTGACAAATGATACTCGAAGCTTCCGCTTGATAGTCCTGAGCTTCTCACCGATTTCTGAATCATCCGGTTGCAATTTCAGAGCGGCCTGAAGATATAGAAGAAGAATAATGAGTAACAGAAAATATTTTCCTATATAGAAAAAAAAATGTTGGACCTGTAGGTCTTTGAGGGCCCCTCGAAGATCACCAAGGCCTTCAAATGCCAATGCTCTCCTGTAGTATGCCTTCGCATATCCACAATCTATGGTAATTGCTTCAGAACAATCCGATATTGCGGTATTCCAATCTCTCATCTGCAATGCAAACAACGTTGGCCATAACGCAGACACTAGAATTTACCTTTAGATAGCAGAGTGCTCGGTTAGCAAAAGTTGCCGCGACGCCAGGATCTAAACTCAAACTCCTGTTGTAACACTTGATCGCTGCGCAGTAATCTTGAGACTTGAAATGTTCATTCCCGATTGTTCGCTGCTTGTTTGCTTCTTCTCGAGCGTCATTGGTATTTTCAGGCCGACACGCCGTCGATGATTCCTCAGGCTCGCATTTCTACACAAAGGTCATCACGTCAGTAAACTTCAAATGGAAAGCGCTAGATACCGTCTCAACGATCTCCTCAATCACCATCGGCCCAGCTCGCATAGGAATGTACGAAGAGTTCTCCTCCAGCGCAGGGGAGAGCTTACGTTCAGATAGGACCTTTAGCTCGCCCTGCAAAAGTTAAAAAGATTGGCATCGAACATCTATATAGAGATAAGCTTAATAGATGAAATCACCTCGGGAACAATCTCTTTCGTAAATATTTCACGTTGAGGAAATTTCTGCGTCTTAGTCACCCGAGTTCGAAGGGCTGGAGTTCGACTCTCCATCTCTAGCAACGCTGAAGAAGAACGGGATTCATCTTCACCTCCAACCTCTTCTATTGAAATTCTTTTACAACTGTCTGCAAGCTTATCATCGTCCTTTTGCTTCTTCCGAACAGCTCTTTCTGCCTTTTCTTTCAAGGTCGAGGCCTCCTTACAAGATGAATCCAAATCAAATGCAGCAGTTAAATCTGCAACGTGGAATTCAGAAACGTCATAAACTCTAAACCGAATGAGCACCTCTCAAGGCCGCCTCCGGCCTTCCTATTTCCAGGTAAGCCACTCCACGACGAAGAAGTGCCTGCTCTTGCGAGGGCATTGTTCGCGTTAGCTCAAAATCAGAAATATTGTATACCTTGACGTGATTTGGATCGAGTTCAAGTGCTTTGGAACAGTCTGCAACAGCATCATCCCATCGATTCAGCTGTTCATATATGCTCGTCATGGATGTAAAGTAGTGTCAATTGACGATTACCTTAACTTGAACTGCAGCACGATTAGCAAACGTCGTCGCCGAATTCGAAAATAGTTCGAGGGACAAGCTGTACGCATCTAGTGAAGCAATATATTCTCGTGCCTGAATGTAAACAGAATCAGTCCCCAGATTGCAAATGCAGTTGTTTTTACCTTAAACAGCTCATTGCCCTTCTCTCGCTCTCGGTTTGCATGCCATTCCCTCTCTGTTTGGGATTTAGAAACAATAGCATTCCTGCATACAGATTATTAGCACTATAGATTTTTGCAAAAACTGGTATACGGACCTTTCTTTGGTTTTCTTGGGATGAGGTATCTTTTCTTCGGTTTTGCAGTCGTCTTCCTGGAGAAAATGTACAACATCAACCCAGCACTGCCAATGGTAGAAAATGACTTGCGTTTTCGCATTTTGCGGCGAATTCATCCCATAGTCGGTAATAATCTCTGCCACTTTTTACGTCTTTACCCTCTTTCTTCGTGCGGGTATTTAAAACTTCAGAAGGCTTAGTTGTATCTTGTATAGTTGGCCTGGCCTGCGCATAAAAACCGGAAAGCGTGAGAAACAGAAAATGAGCGCCTAGCCTACTTTGTCGCCGGACTCTGCAGCTTTGGGGCCTTTCACTCTCTGAAGCTGGCGAAGCTTGTCATCGGCACCTTTGATCGCGTCCTGGTGGTGAGAAGAGTGAAGAAATAAGAGCTTGAGAAGTCCCCAGCAGATTTTTGGACGCACGAATTCACCTTCCACGAGTCGAAGGTCTTAAGAAAACCATCGAAGTCTTCGTCGTACTCGTCAACTCTGAGATACACAATGAAAAACCACATGAAAAAAGGAGAAGAAGAAGAAACACTTACCGAGTTTCGCGCTCTCCGGGACGAAAAACCCGGCCCCCTAGTTTGATAATAGTTTCGTAAGCAGCCTCGGCAGTTTGGGGAAATCCCTCTTCCCTGGAATCGATTAAATCAGCTGCGAAAGCTAGAAAGAAAGAAATCCTCACCGCATGTATCTCTCGAGTTTCTTGAGCTTCCGGAGATCCGTCATGCCGCGGATTTGATCTCCGCTAGAAAGTAGAGAACCAAAAACACATTTAACCGGAAAAATGCAGCGATGGCGGCAGGAAATCTTACGTGATATGATCGAATTCGTCCATCTCCTTGTCGGAAATCCATGAGCGCTTCACGCCGGCCACCATAGCTGCGAGAAGCCCTAAACTCTGGGAGGAAGAAAGAACAAACTCGGGGATCCAACGGAGGTTTTCTCGACAGCCGTCGGATCCTCCCGCCAGAAATTCGTAGCAATATAGAATTAGGGTTCTTATTTTGGAGCTCGGCTATGGCGGAATGTGAGGCGCTCTGGTGAGGCAATCTGGTCGAAATGGCAGCTCAAGAAGAGGATGCGACTCGCCTGAGATTGCTCCTCGAGTCGTCCTCGAGCTCTCTTGGCGACATCGCCGCCGCCTGTCATGCGGTGGAATCCGTCTCCAGGCACTTGCCAAGATCGTTCTTTTGCGTTTGCTTCCCGCTCCTCCTGCGCAGATTGTTTGGATTCAAGGACTTCCAGGCAGGGGCAGTGACTTCCTCGGAGGGATGGCTCTCGGTCGTCTCGCAGCCGGGCTGTGAATCGGCCGCGACGGTAGTAATCGCTCTCCTAGCGCCCGGGAGCTCGCTCTTCAAATCCCTCCTCGCCTCGGACAGCGAGAGCGTCGTGAGGTATGTGTTTCCATTCGAGCGCCTCCCGGAATGGGTCCGCCGCCTCTTGGCGGTGGAGGGCGGCGGCCCAGTGCTGGAGCACGTCTCGATTCTCTTCCGGAAGAGGCTCAAGGAGGACATCACTGGGTCGATCCAGATCGAGCTAGACATCTTCCAGTACTACATCTTCTGGTTTGCCTACTACGCGGTTTGCAAGGAGTCTCCAGCTGCCAAGACTTCCAAGACTGGGCTCTCTCGATCATCCCAGCTGCGCAGCCAGATCGAGAGCTGGGCTTCTTCCATCCCGGGGCTCCATCACTCTCACCAGGGAAGCTTGGTCTCGCCGCTTCATCCATACTTGCAGCTCCTCCAGCTCTATCTTTCACACTTTGTTGGTCCAGCGATGATCCGGAAAGACAAGCAAGTGATCTCACTGTGGGAAGACTACGTCATCTCGCACGCCGACATACTCGTCCGGACTTTGATCGATTTTTGGCTCATTGACGACGATCCTTGTCCGTTCTCGCTCGCGGTGTGCCAGTCTTTGCAGCTCCACACTTTGCCGCCACCTTCGTCTTACGTGCCGCCAGGAAGAGATCTCATCGATGCCGTGAAGCTGCTCATCAACTATTTCAGTGCTCTTCTCCAAACGCAGATTGGTCACCACGAGCAGTTCTTTGCTTCGCCAGAGTCACCGGCTGGATTCAGGAGGAAAGCTTCGCTTCTGTCGGATTTGCGAGCAAGTTCCGCGCTGAATGCTAGTCCGTATCTGCAGTCGCTGCAAAGGCCGCTCTATCGGTTCTTTCTCCGGGCGTTTTGTTTGTGGCCGGTTGGGACGTCCCTGACCAAGGTGCTGCCGATGGTCGACCTGTGGCTACACTACTTGGAACCATGGACGGCGATTCTTCTCGTCCCAAAGGACAGTAGCGTTCAGCCTGGCTCCAGAGTTGTTCTTGACGAGTCGAAGCGCTTCTACTCGGCATACTGGCAGGAATACGTTCTCTCCAACTATGGTTTCTACACGTCGCTGGTTTCGCACTTCCTGGATTTCGCTTTGAAGTTTCTACACGTCGACATGGAGCTGGTCGTCCAGGCAACATGCAAGGTGAACCCATCGCTCCACTTGCTATAGGTGGCTCCTATACATACACCCATAGAAACTGATCAGAGCTGGTGAACTGATGGCGTTGTCTCTTTTTGTTGAAACAGGTTCTCGGTGTTTTGGCCAAGTCAGATGATCTGTTAGATCTTCTGCGGAGGGTTAATGCCGCGTACACGGAAAGCTTTCTCGGGAGGCATCACTATACGAGTAATCCTTTTGTTGACAGAGTCCCAACCATCATGGAACAGCTACAGGTAACTCTTTGCCTATCAAAACTTCCCGTTTTACTCTTTGCTTATCAAATGTTCCCGTATCCTTTCAGGATTGGGAAGAGGGCATGACAAATTCAGAGAAGGAGCATGGCGAGATCTTGCACTCGAGCATGCAGACCAGTGCCCCCCAGCTGCATTTATTTGGTGTGGGAGAATACGGAGGCCATTATGTCTTACAGGTGATATTTGTGAACTTTGGTATCTCTTTGCTAAACAGACTATTCCTTTCAGAGCATCATCTTGCTGGCGGAAGCGGAAAACCGAGCTTGCAACACCGACAAGCTGCCAGTGTCTCCCAAGACCTTGAGAAATCTGAAGGAGCTCGTCCTGAAAGTTTTTGAGCGGGAGGTTTTGGGAAGGCAGCAGCCGCTGAGGTCGGACTCTGGCTCTCCACTCCCCGAGATGGTGATCCCGGAGACAAATCACTCGGAGGAGATCCCGGAGAGAAGTCCTGGACTCCAGAGGCACAGCGTGGCGGAGGTGAAGTACAAAGGCGATTGGATGAGACGTCCGATAGAAAGCCAGGAGATCGGGTGGCTTGTCCGGCTGCTGGTGGAGGTCTCGGACAAGCTAAACGGTTGCCTGGGATTTACCGGAGGCAGGGAATTGATCGAAGAACAGGGGTGCTCATCACACTCGCAGGTGCTCGACGCTGTTTTTCCCGAAGTCCTCAAGCCAGTGGCGAGAGCTCTACTCGCAGCTTTCCTCTTCGTGGTGAAGGAGTTGCGGAAGCGGGGATTTAGAATAAATTTGCGGCCGCTAGCGAGCAAGCAGGCGATCAGTTCCGGGGCTCTAGCGCTCTTCTTCTACTGGCTGGTCAAGAAGATCGCGGGGTATTTCTTCAAATAATAGCCGTTGGATGGATGGAATCGACGGCTAAGGCGCTAGGGTTCTTTACGACGCTTGAGGCATATTCCATTGGCGGGTTTTTCAAATAAGTCCAACACGTGGCTTATCCACGAGCATCCGCCGAGTGCTACGTGGCAAGGCTTCATAACGTTGTGGCTTCCAAGGACGTGGCGTTTAGGGTTTATAGCACAAGAAGAGGCGGCAGGAGCTGCGCCAAGCATCCAGGCAGGTTGAGGGATATCACTTTGGAGTTTTTGGTCACTGTGGATTGAAAATGGAAGAGTTTTCATCGTCTTCGTCGGGATCTCTCTGCGTTTTGGAGCAATGGCGATCGGGTGGTCTCGTTGGTGTTTGTTTTATTGATGGATTCGGCCGGGATCAATGCAGGGAGTGGCCGGGAAGTGTTTCGAGCTTGTGTGGAGAGCCATGGTGGGAGCTTTGGAGTCGCCAGCAGCTATCAGTCTTGCGACGTTTGGGGGAGTGAAGAGGCCTCAGTTGCCGATCAATTTTTTCAAGTTTCCTGCCGCCACGCGCCTCAAGGCTGTGCAACAGGTTTGTCTAGCGGCATTTTCGTTTCCACAAGAAAAAAAGCTCTCTCATGTTCGTTCTTTGCAATTTTGATTTTTCTTGCAGTACATAGGCTGCTTTGAGTACCGGATAGCGCTTCAGCCACACTACAATGTTAATAAGTACAGGCCACTGGCAAAACTTATGGACACTGCACAGATGGTTAGTTTCTTGAGAGTTTGTAGCGATTACTTCTTCAGGGTTGGTTTTTATTTTTGTTTCTCTCTTTCCAGATGATTCACAGTCCTCAGGCAATTAAATGCGTTGAAGGTGTGATTCTGGCAATTTATCTCACCGTAAGCTTTCGACATCTTTGTTGGGAAGTTCTTAATGCGTGCTTGCTTTTGTGGAGTAAGGCCGGACTCCAAGGCGTGGAACGAATTCCCGTGGGTTTTGAGACTGAGCAAGACACGAAGGTACATCGTCCATATGATATCTGCGGTGGTTTTCTAAAGAGGTTTTTTGTATGAGCTACAGATCCATCAGCACATCATTCTAGTGGTGCGCAATGGAAAGAAGTTTGGTGCGTTTGGGATGAGCCGCGAGGCCGACTTGGCAGGAAGAGAGTTTGAGTTTGATAGGTTCTCGTCATAGCTCTTAAGTTTCTCCTTTTACATCCTTTTAAATTTTTGCAGCTTCTCAAGTATTGTTTCTGATTACAAACGAGCCTACGAAGGCCATCGCCACACCATCCAGAAGCTATGGGTTGGACTGCCGGTAATCTTTCTTTTTCTGCTTTGGAAACTTGAACCATTTAAACTCTAATTTGTCCTCCTTTTTTATCAAGGTGGAACTCAATGTCGAGTCTTATAACTACGTTTGCTGGCGGTACTTGACACTCACGCCAAACTCGCAACCATGGATAGAGGTAATTCTTTGCGCATACTTCTCTAAAGTGACTAAAATTCTTACTTCAGTGCTGTGCCGAAATGGACAAACACTTCTCCCAATCGAAAAAACTCTGGGAAAGGTCAGTCTACCTTGTCGAAACCCATACTGATATTTTTCTTAAATTCTTTCTTTCTTTTCCTTCTAGATGGCTGCTCGAGGGACAGGGAGAAATCCCAAAGAACCAAAGCATCTATAACAACGCCAAGAAACTGGATATAAACGCTGTTCCCAGAGCTGCAGGCGCGATCTTGAGGATTCCAAGGCCGCCTTCACGCTCGACGATCTTACCATCGATCGTGAACCTCAACACTCCTGGTAAGAAAAGCGCTGAAAGTTAATTAGCTAGGTAGAAACTGGAAGAAAAAACAAAAGCCAGAGAGAAGAAGACCAAAGAAGCGCTATCTTTTCCCTGACTGAATTTACAGTGCCATCGCGAGTGGGTTTTCATGAGATCCCGTCCATCAGATATTTCCACGACTAACTTTTAATGGGAGTTCTTTTATTCTACCTTTAACTTAACCCCGCCTTTTATCGTGTGACGTCTGCCCTAGTTTCTTGTTTCATGTGAAGAGGTCCATCTTCGAGGGTTTGGAGATCGCGTGTCCGCGTCGGCGCTTCCGGTTTGCCTCGATCCCTGGGAATTTCTCACAATGCAGGGCTGAATCGCCGGGGATTGATGTCATCAATGCGTGGAATGCTAAGAATGCGTCGCAGATTCGCTGCCGCTGCTACGAATGGAGCTCTCAAGTCGTATTCTCTCGCGGCGGAATCCCAGGTGCGATTGCCAGATGAGTTGTGTTGTGTAGTCGAGCGAAGAATCGTTCGAGAATTTGTAGTCGAGAGAATCGTTAGAGAAATTCGTCCAGTTTGGTATTGTTCTTTCTTGTGATTCTTTGTTCTGTTTCCTTTGCTGATACATATCTTCGTTTTTGGTCAGGGCGGTGGGCTTTGTCCCTATGGACGTCGTGAGCATATGAAGCTTCTCATGGAGTTCTTCCAGAAGAATCTTCCCAGAGCGTGTACTTTCCTGGCCCCGCCGACGAACTTTGCATCAACGTCGTACCGATTCCCTGTCAGGAAGTTCCAGTTTAGATCGTCGTCTGTGCAAACAATCGGGCCGAGATGCTGCGCTTTGCCCGTCAGATTTTTCTCGAGCACTCCATCGCCAGAAGCACTAGATCGGCTAAATTGCTGCAGCCACAAGAGGGACTCCGACTCCGACGATGAGACCGAGTCTCTGGGGCGGTGTTCTTACGTCCAGCCTCCAGGTAATCGGGAAGAGGCAACCGAGAAACTCCAGGAGGAATTCGAAACTGCGATGAAGTGCTTCGAAGACGCTCCACCATGCCTGGACGACATTCCGAAGATAAATCCCAATGGTAGGTGAGTATATTTGCTTTTCATCTTCTAGTTGCTCGAGAATTGTGTCTAACGCTCGGGTTTTGCAGGTGTTTATGCCAACCATAACTTGCGCTTGGATCTCATCAGCGTCTATGGATTTGACTACGACTTCACGTTAGCTCACTACACTGCGAGTTTGCAGCATTTGATTTACGACCTTGCCAAAGAACAGCTTGTAAAAGAGGTATTTGCAGTATTTTATTTTCTTTGCACAACGATTTAGGCTGATATCTTCTATGAACAGCTGAAATATCCGGAATCATGCTTGGATTTCAAGTATGATCAGAATTTTCCAATAAGAGGGTTATATTACGATAAGAAACGGAGCTATCTGCTGAAGCTAGACTTTTTCCACTGTGCGGAAGTTGCGAGTTGTTTCTTTGGCCGCCGGCGTGTAAGTGGATGTTTCTTTCTGTTCCTTCTTAACAGTGAGATCAGTTAACGCATGAGGAAGTCGAGCAAGCATATGGAGGAAAGCATATAAGCCCAGAGAACTTAAGTAACCTCGTCCCTCTTATGGATTTATTTTGCTTGAGCGAGGTACATTTTTTATGTTTATTTCTTCTTCTTGCTATAGATGTTATTGTCTATACAGGTCTGCCTTCTATCCGATGTTATTCAACATTTCGTAGATCAAAAGCTCCAGTTTGATCCTGGTTATGTGTACGAGGACGTAAGACGCTCTGTTGAGAATATCCATCGAACCGGACTTTTACATAAACTTATCCTTGAACGCCCAGAGGAGTACCTTGTGAAAAATGTAAGAACTTGGCTTTCTGTTCTCGCATTTTAAGCGCTTGTGAATACAGGAAGCTGTCACCCGGATGCTAAAAAGGCTTAAAGAGATAGGAAAAAAGACGTTCATCATCACAAACTCTCCTTTTCCGTTTGTAGATGGAGGGATGAGATACTTGTTTCAGGTAAACGGCCAGTCTTTTGATTTTTCCTGTCATAACATTGTTTATATGCGTAGGAAGACGGAGACGACGGAAGTTCCTGGAGAGACTTGTTTGATGTTGTTGTGGCTCTGTCAGATAAGCCAAACTTCTATTCCTCTCAACGACCATTCAGGTAATGTTTATTACGGACATAGCAAAAGATTCAATGAATATCGTGAAACAGGCATTACGATATAGAAGCGGACAGGTTAACCTTTAACAAGGTGGAAGAGTTTGAACCTCATGCTGTTTATTACCATGGATGCTTGAAGGACTTTCTTCAAATCACGAAGTGGCGAGGAACAGAGGTGTGAAGGTTTTGCACTGGACAGCTTTAAAATGCTTAACATTTGCAGGTCCTGTATTTTGGAGATCACTTATTTAGTGATTTACGAGGCCCTTCAAAGGCTGGATGGCGCACGGCTGCTATAATTCGGGAGCTTGAGGTCTGTCTTGAGATATAAATCAGTATAAAGCAACTCATTTTCCACTTTCAGAGAGAGATCGCTACACAAAATGAAGATGAATATCGCATCCACCAGGTATTTAAAAGGGCCTAGCTGTCTTATCGTAAACGTGATAGTAATTTGTTAACAGGCACGATATCATATGGTTCAAGAGCTGCTTGGCAAATATCACGGCTTGCCTGTGGGACCTAGAAGGGACAAAGAAAAAACTCTTCTCCTGGCATTAAGAAAGGAACGCTTGAATGCGAGATTATCGATGAGCCAGATGTTCAACCGCTACTTTGGTTCAACGTTCCTCACAGATACTGGCAAAGAGTCGGCTTTCGCATATAACGTGCAGAAGTACGCGGACGTGTATACAAGCCGCCTTGAGAACTTGATGACATATTCTAGTGAAGCGTGGCTCTATACCCCGTTCGACGTGAAGATTTTGCCGCATCATATCAAGGTACTCATGTCTAGTGGTTTTTCTCTGATTGTTCACTAATTCGTGTTTCAAAAGCTTGTGTGTGACTACAGGTCGGGCCGTCTAAAGTTTTCAAGGATTGGCCATTTGAATCCTACCCAGCATAGTGAAGATCAGCTGTAAGCAACTTATGAGACTTTTTTCGTAACAATTGCAATGTTTCTAGTCATGAACACCTGGAGCCACAACTGGAAATGGCGGATCGCTGATGTGGATAGATTGGACGAGACACGACTTGTGGATACGGGGATCAAAAAATAACGAGTTAAGTTTCGTGGAGAAGTTTTGGGAAGCTCCGCTGTATGTTGTCTCCAGCTGAGACTCTGTCCTCTTGGGCTTCCTCCACACTTGGCCGGTTATGGAGGAGGAGGACTAGCACTGGCGGAATTGTAGAGGAACTAGCGGTAGCAGGAAATCCGATAGGTGGGGAATCAGGAACTTCGAGTGGAGCAGCAGCTCCAGAATCAACAATGGTGCTGCGATCGCAATCTAGAAGAAGGAAAACTCCGGAGCCGTCTATCGTGCGTCGTCGCAGAAGACGAGGAGGCAAGGTAAGATCTTTGTTTTGTTTTGGTTCTTCGTTTTCTCGCTTGGATTTCTCATTGCGCGAGTGACTTCTTGTTTACAGGGACGCAGGAGACGACGGAGAAGACGCGCGAAAACTCACTCAAGTCGTTCGTGTTCCATGAAACCATTCTTTCAATCAGAACTGGGAAAATCTAGCTTTTAATGCGAGTGTAAAGAGCTCTCTCGTGTCTATCGAGTTAGGGGTTTAGGTTTTTGAAATATTTGAGCGATGGAGCGCGCGCTCTACACATCGATCTCCGCGGCGCTGGAGCCGCTGGTGATGGCGCATCTCTTCTCGCGAAAATGCCGAGGTCTGGAGCATCCCACGCGATGGAAGGAGCGCCTTGGCTATCCCTCGCTTCCTCGCCCCTCTGGAACCCTCATCTGGTTCCACGCCGTCTCGCTAGGTCGGTTTCTTTCTTCCTCTGTGCGATCGATCGTTCTTTTCTTTGGAAATTTTCAAGGTTTTCTTTGCTCATGGATTCTTTCTTTGTTGAAATTCTAGGAGAAGGGCTGTCAGCCATACCGATCATCGATAGATGCTTGCAAATACATCCTTTCCTTAACGTTCTTCTCACTACTGGGACTTTGACAGCATTGTGAGTAACTCTATGTACATTTCGCGATTTATCCAATGTGTTCGTCTTCTTTTCCGTAGCAATGTCCTCCGGAGCAAACTTTCTCATGGTGTAATCTTCCAGGTACTGTTCTCTGTTAGCTGTTCTATGGTTTGCGAAGTTCTAAAATACGGTTGGAAAGTTTGTTCCTGTGGATACTCCAGCAGCGGTGGACAGATTTTTGAGTCACTGGAAGCCACAGGCTGGTATATTCATGGAAAGTGAGCTTTGGCCAAATCTTCTCTTGTCATCGTCCTCGAGAAAGGTGCGTGATTGTTGAAACTGTGGAATTGAAGTTTTACTTACCTTGCTTCCTATGCAGATTCCTATGGCTCTGTTGAATGCGCGAGTATCTGAGAAATCTTTCATTCGATGGTCTCGTTTCACCTCGAAGTCGCTTGTGGGTGAAATGCTTGGAAGTTTTTCTTTGATATGCCCTCTGGTATGCTTTGGAAGTTTTTGGTCCTTTGCCTGACCAACTTTATATTCTACTTGACAAGGTAGAGCACCAATGACGCGATACATCTGCAGCTTTTGGGTGCTTCTCCTGGCGTCATACATTTCTCTGGAAATTCGAAATACGGTGGGTAGTGGTATCCCAAATTCTTTGACACCATGTATTTTCCAGCATGGGGAGCATCTCAGGACAAGTCGCAAGTGGAAGATCTCCTGCTAATGAAACGAAAAGTCTGGCTGGCATCGTCGACACATGCTGGTGAAGAGGAAGGTACAGCTCTGTTTAGGACTTACAAAACTCCATCTCATATACCACCGGGTGCTCTAGTTATTGCAGAGGTGCACTTGACACTCAAACGAACATTTCCAGAAATTCTTACAATCCTCGCACCTCGGCAGCCCAGTCGTGCAGAGTCAATCATCATGGTTAGATACAATATCACTTGTTTTTGTACGTTTTAACATTTTCTTTCAGATGCTGCGAACCCATGGATTGAAGGTTGCACAGAGGTCCATCAACGAGAATATTTGCCTAAATACTGACATCTATCTCGCAGATACCGTAGGTACGTGATTCTAGAGCGTTTCTCGGTTTCTCTTCTCAAACTCTTGTCTTCCAGGTGAATTGACAAGACTTTACAACTCTGTTCCAATAGCTGTTGTTGGTGGCTCGTTACTAAAAGGTTTAGCTGGTCACAACATGGCGGAGGCTGCAGCATGCGGTTGCGCTGTTCTTACAGGTTGAGAAGTTCCCATACTCCGATCTAAGCTAAAAGCATTTCTATCTAAGAACAGGAACACACTTGGGTCACTTCTCCAAAATGCTGAAAGAAATGCAGTCGATCTCTCCATTATCCATCTTACAAGTAAGAAGCTTTGTTTCTTCATTTACCCAATTTCATTTTCTTTTCTCAAGGTTTCCTCCGCGGATTCTCTAGCGTCCGCCTTGATGGAGCTTTTCTCTGACGAAGGAGGTCTACGACTTCGTAGGAAAGCTGCAAAAGCAGCTTCAACCACTGCAGCTGCTGGCATCATCGACAATATCTTCAAGCTGCTAGAGCTCAACATATTCCAAGGTGTGTATTGCGACACTCTCATGGGTTTAGGGTTTAGTGAGAGGAAGCAGGGGTCTATGGTGAATGCAATCCACTTGGAAGAGAATGCCGGTGGTACTGAGACGCTCCTCTCTTTTTTACTTCCAGGAATCGCGATGGGAGGCGAAGTTTCAGCAGCTACGCGCGATGGTGAGTGCTCCGAAGATGGGTCCTCCTCCCGCTGGAAGAAGGATGATGATTCCCAAGGCCCAGAAGAGGATGAAGATCTACGACTTGGACGAGGCACTGATCATGTACAAGAAGTTCCGGGATATTGTCAAGCTCAGGGACTTGCTGGAGATGTCGCAGGGCCATGTCCTTAACCTCCATGCACTGGGAAGGCTCAAGGGAAGATTCAAACTCGACCCGGCAAGCAGGATTTCATCGTATCCAGACGCTCATCCTGGCGTGGTGAAGCTCACGACCGACGCAGACAGCTGGAAGTGGCTCGAATTTACAGATGAGGCCGAGGACTTGATAGCCGAGAAGGGGATCTACATGAGAGAGGTTCACGAGGCACAGGTGGTCAAGTGGATCCGGAAGATGCTGATGATGTCGCAGACTCGAAGCATGCCTCTGATACGGCTCCAGCACCTCAGGAACGTTCTCTTCCTGCCACCGGACTTCAAGTCGAGGATCATCCACGCGTATCCGCAGTACTTCCGGGTGACGACCGTGAGGGGGGCTCTCACTCTCGAGCTCGTGGAGTGGGACGAGTCGCTGGCGGTGACTTACAGGGAGCAGAGGCTGAGAGACAACGCTCTGGAGCTGGACGAGCTTATGGGCGACACGAATCCTCACGCGTTTCCGATGTCGTTCCCGACCGGCTTCCACCTGAGGAAGAACGTGAGGGAGTACTACGAGACGTTTCAGAAGCTCCCGTTCCAGTCGCCTTATGAGATATGCCGGACGATCCATGGGACGATGGAGGCGGAGAAGCGGAACTTGGCCATCGTCCACGAGATACTGAGCATGTACGTGGAGAAGCGGGCACAGATCGCGCAGATCGCTGTGTTCCGCAAGGACTTCAAGCTCATGAGCTCGCTCCGGGGGCTCATCGAGCGTCACCAGGGGATCTTCTACACGTCTTACAAGGAGGACCTCTTCACGGTGTTCCTCAAGGAGGCTTACAGCGGCATGAGACTGATCGATCGCAGTCCGCTGCTAGACTTCCGGGACAGGTTCATAAGGCTGTGTTTGATCCAGCCTCGGGAGAAGCGGCTGGATCCGCGAAGAACTTCTCCCGAGAATGTGGAGAAGCGGCTCCGGCAGATGGACACGATCAAGGAGGAGGTGGGGAGAATGGACTGCGAGGGGAAGATATCATGCAAAGGATCCAAGAGGGAGATGAGGAGGTGCCTGGCGAGTGGACACGAGGTGGAGATACTCGGGGAGGATAGAAACGCGAGGTGGAGGAGGCCGAGGGTGCTGTTCGAGGAGATGATGGACAAGACTCCGGACTACAACATCACAGAGCTGGAGAAGGCGCTGTATAGATTCAAAGGGAAGGCTGATAAGTGGCCAAACCGGGAAGATGGAAGCTGTGAAGGTTTGGATGACGACGACGACGGTGACTCCGACTTTGAGTGGTGAGAATTTTGGTGGTGGCAGGAGAGATCGATCGAGCTATCGAAGATTCAGTGAAGAAAACTCGGAGAGATGATCATGGATATGATATACTAATATTCGTGAAGGTGGATGTTGTCTTCTATCTTAGGAAAGCCACCATGGACTGGATGATTTTGTTCTTCCTTTCTTGAGGAAGTTCATGCTGGAATCGAACCGGGCTCTGTTCCATGGCATTTTTCAGTTAGCTAGATTAGCAAAAAAGGATAGAAAACCTTTTGTGTAGACACTATATAGAGGAGTAGCTAGGGTATTGGGGAAGTTTAGTTTTAACGATGAGCAAAAGGTTGAGCTAACAATCAACAAGGCATAAAAAATTTTAATCACAATGAATTATCATTTAGTCCTCTCATGCACACGAGAACGTCATAAAAGTTCTCGGCTTGTAATACACCTTATTGAATTCCTTGATTTCCAATAAGTGCTGGATTAAAGAAACTATGCGGCAGCTCTTAGTGGCGAGCTTGCATGAGCGAGAGTTGTGCATAAGGACATGAGTGTCTCAAATTTGAGCTCAATGGAAACAACTTTGTAGTGAATTTGGGAGATTTTAGCTGCGCAAGGAAGCACCAACTATACATATTGGATCACTGGGATTTAGGGCTCCTGAAGTTATCGAGATTGAGAAGTTTGGGACAGGTATAGACATGTGGGGTGCTGGAATGGTGTTTGCAGTGTTGCTTCCGGGAAAGAAGCCTTTTGGTGGCCATAAATTAAAGATTCCGAGAAGAATTGGTTTAATAAAATTGAAGACAAGGATCCTGTGAATTTGAAAGTGGATCCCAAGCAAGCAAACCCTGCAACAATTTCATAATATTTGTTAGTCATGAAAATAATCAATGCCATTGTATTAATACTATTTAAAATTACCTTAACAACTAAAATAATATAATATTGTTTTTCCGAAGCAAAACAAATGTTTCTATATAGTCTAGAGAATTATTAAATAGCAAGTTTTAAGTTTGTCTTTGTAGTTTTATGTGTGTTTAGAAATTTTCCTTACATACAACTCATTTACTTGGGTGCAATATAACAATTATATAATAGATACTAAAGTATAATATATCATTACAATACTTTTTATATAAATTAACTTTCTGGAGAAGATCAAATAAATATATTTAAACAATTTTTAAAAAAATAAGTATAAAATAAAATAAATAATTTCTTTGTTAGATTTATATTCATACAACATTATATTAATTTGCTTAGGGGAGTGAATAAAAATAAAATATTCTTTGATATTCTAAGATATTTTACCATCTAATAGTTGTTATTCATTTATATTAATCTTGTATTTATAATTTATAAACATGTTTATAATTTATAAATTTTCAATAGTATATTTATTTTATTCTCATAGTTGATATATAATAAGATTAATCTACTTCCAATTGATCAATTCAATTAATAAATCATAAACACTACCAACTATTGCTACATGAACAAATGTTTTTTGCTAGTTTGTTAGGCTACCCCTTTCCCTCTATGACCAGAATGGTTGTTCTATTCGCCTTGTGCTTGTGAAGAAATTGTTAAGTGTGTTCGGATTAGACTGAATTTAAAAATTTCAAGGTAGGGCACATTTTGTTTATAAGCTCAAGGTGGCTACCACACTTAAAAATTTGCGATCTGGATTGCAAGCTCGCTAGAAATGCATCTCAAATGCAAACACCTATCACAGGCAAGTCTCTTCTTTAAGTGGTCTTTTTCTCTTCTTTTTTTTCTTGAAGTTTTTACTAGGAAGAGAAGAAACCATTTCTCTCGACGAGCAAGCTTCTTGTTCGTCGGTGTTCGTGGCACTTTCTTCTTCGCGTACCTCCATTATGGATGGATACCAGTTCGTTGAAGACTTCCATATCTTGCGAGGTAAGCCACGATTTTTGACGATTTTTTTCTTCTTGATCTCAGAGAAGCTTGGATTCGGATGCTGGCAAGTCTTACGGCCTTGTCATGGCTCTAGGAAAAAGGTTTGTTCTTTTGCTCTTTTCCATGGTCCTAGATTTGTGGACAGGAAAATGATCTTAGCTCCAGAGTTTGAGATGCCAAACGTCCTGGAGCCGCTGCGCTGGTACGTTTTTCGTTTACTCACTTCGATCATACCCGTTTCTTTCTTGGCAGGCTACAAGGTGGGAAGCTAAGCAGCGGAAAGCTTAACGAGAGAATAAGCCGATCATGGAGCGAATGCGAAGCTAGCCGAGTTCTTCCCGAACGAGATGAACTTACTGGAGCATATCAGGGAATCGGGGCATTTCCTGCGGCCTCACCTCGACGATCTCCAGGTTCTCTCCATCCTTCCCGACTGTCTCCCATTTGTTCTTGCTTGTTTCTATGCCTATTCAAGATCGCAAGTGTTTTTTAGCTCTCAGGCACCTTGATCGTCAACTTAAGCATGTGCGGAGAATTCTACATGACGTTCAAGAGAGGAAAGGGTGCGTACGAGTGTCATAAAATCCTATTGAAACAACGATCTCTTCAGGTAAAGCGCATCTATTCTCTCCAGATAAAAAATTGGATATTTTTGTCTCTCGTTCTAGATTCTGTGGAGAAGCAGATATAACTTCACAGATGAGATTGAGAACCGGGTCATACTATCCCCAAGGCGAGTTAGCATTTCATTTGGAGGTGGTTTCTTAGGACATTTGGTGAACAGTCAAATTTTAGTCAACTTTCTATGTTTCTTTGTAAACTTATTACAGAAAAACTGAAGTCACACTATTGTATATGGAATTCATCACTCCTTTCCATCGGCCTTCCTGAGTGAGCCGAGTTGGACTGGAGCTTGAGTTCCCACAACCTTGGAGGAGCTATAAGCTGCCGCCAAGTCGTGTGATCCCTCCGCCATCTCCTTCTCAAGCTGCTCCTTGATCCACATGTAGGTGATTCGCAGCCCATCTCTCAGTCGCATCGAGGGAGCCCAGCCCAGCTTCTCCTTGATCAGACTGTTGTCCGAGTTCCTTCCGCGGACTCCCTCCGGCCCGGGGATGTGCTGGATTGGAATTTGCTTGTTTTCAAAGCCCAGGATCATCTCCGCCATCTCGTTCATGCTCACCATCTCGTCGCTGCCGATGTTGAGCGGCTCCCGGAAGTCGGACTTGGTGAGTCGCAAGACGCCCTCCACGCACTCGTCGATGAACGTGAAGGATCGCGTCTGCATACCATCGCCCCACATCTCGAATTTGTCGGTGGAAGTCAAGGCCTTGCGACAAAACGCGGCTGGAGCCTTCTCTCGTCCGCCTGTGAGATCGATTTGTCAGTCACCCATCACACTCTAAGCTTCGAGCAAGAGAAGAAAGAGGAAGTTCCAAGAATCTAAGCTCACCTTTCCAGGTACCAAAAGGCCCGTAGATGTTGTGGAAGCGCCCAATCCGGCACTCGATTCCAAAGTCCTTGGTGTAGTGCTTGCACAGCTCTTCGGTGCACAGCTTCTCCAGCCCATAGGCATCTTGGGGCTGCAAGGAAAACAAGAGTTTTAGAACTTTCAGATCAGAAAGAAAGGGTTCTTCTTTCACATACCTCTGCCGGCCATGCATCGCCTTCTTTGAGGCTCACGTTCGTTTCTAGCTGTTTGAACTCTGGATAAATGCATGCGCTCGACGCGTAAAAGAATCTGCAAGCCAAAAGGAAAAGTGAGCTCCAAATTCTCGGAACAAAAAGAAGAATCCACACCTTTTGACTCCATTGATTCGGGAGGCCTCGAGCATGTTGAAGCTGATCATGGTATTGTTGAAAAGGATGACCGAGTGATTCGACTGGATGAAACCCATCCCGCCCATGTCGGCCGCGAGATTGAAGACGTGATCCGCGCCCCTCGTCACAACCATGCAGTTGTCCATGACGCGGAGATCCACGAGATGGAACTCATGGCAGAACATATCCTCGCTCATGTGTTCGTTCTTCTTCCAGTCCGATGCGATTATGTAGTGTCCCTCCGCCTTGAGCCGCCGTGCAATGTGCGATGCTATGAATCCTCCAGCACCGGTGATGCAAATCCGGAGTTTAGATTCCGGCCAATAGGCTTTGCGCTCCAGCTCTGCCCCAACTGTATAAGCTCCAAAGGATTCCATCGCTGCTCTCTCTCTCTTTTCTTTAGGATACGGCTAATGTTCCGCCCCTATTTATACTTGGCTAACCAAAAGGTCTTTCCACCTTTTTCCAAGGAACCTTTTGCCACCTTTCTCAGAAAAACTTTGTTAAGTGTTAACTTGGAACAGCTTGACTGCATGATCGGCACCGCAGGACGCGAGTCTCGAGCGCTCTTGATCTTCACTCCAGCACAGCCGATTGACAGCCGCCGCGTGACAAAGCTGCGAGTCGAATCTGGTGACGAGGCTGGGAGCTTGTTTCGCTACGACGCTCCACAGCTCTATCATCCCGGATTCCATCCCAACCGCGAGTAAATACTTGGACCCCCATGCGAGAGCCGTGACGCTGCTTGCGAAACTCGGCAGTGTCGAAAGCAGCTCCACCTTGGCTTGTTCTTGTTCTTGGTCTCCTCCTTGTTCGACTATCGACCAGATTTTCACGCTTTTGTCCCGCGAGCCTGTTGCAAACCTGTTGTCGTGCGGGCTCCAGGAGCACGTCCACACAATTCGTTTGTGGGCTTCGAGTTTTACCAGCAAGCGCTGGAAAGCTGGAACAATGAAAATGGTACCTAGAGCTGACAATGGCTCGAAGCTTACAAAAACTAACGTACCTGTTGTAATCCGGAACAAAGACAAGTGCCTGTCCCTGGACACCGAGAGCAGGAAGCGGTCGTCGTGCGAAAACTCCATCTGCGTTACCGTGAGCGAGTGCGAGCAAAGTTGCGTGATCGGCCGCCAAGACTTTGTCTCCCAGAGCCATATCTCGGCTACGCTTGGAGTTTGGGCCTGTGAAACTTTGTGTGAATAAGTTCACAAGAGATACAAAACTCGCATACCTTGCATGCAGTGGCAAGAATTTCACCACCATGGCTCGAGCACATCGAGTAGAGCTCGTTGCCGTGTCCATATAACTTGTGGGACTCCGGCCACAGCGTGTTTTGGACGAGCTGTTCCTCCAGTGGTGGTTTTGTGAGGACACTAGGAACCGCCTTTGCCACATACTCACTGTCAAACGCATTACTGCGGGAATCCTGGTTTGCGTCGGCTGCAAGAGAGGACGAAGTTAGTAGTGCAAAAGAAAAAACATCTTTTTGTCTCAAACCTTGTGTATATATTGGTTTCTGAGACAAGCCAAGTGCGGACATATTTGCTCCCAAGATTTGGACGCCTTGCCTCGCCTCCTCGTTGCCACTCGAGCTTGTGAGAAGATCGAGCGTGTCTAGAAACGCGGTGGGAGCCTCAAACACCCTCGCAACCTTCTCGTCGGCTCCACTTACGTATCTATAGTTTCCTTTCCCTCGGATAATCGCCAGACAGTTCATGTCATGGCCGTGGACTTGTGGCCTCGCAACCTCGTGCCAAGTCGAGTTCTCTGCGTCTTTGTTCCAGCAAGTAAACATCCGGGTAGTCTGCAAACCACCAAACCATACACACTGAGAATAAATTCTAGCAAGAACAAGCAGTACCTGGTCGTGACTCGCTGTAAGCAGAAACTGCCCGTTCGAAGCCCAGGCAACGTCGACAACAGGACCAAAATGCCCGGACGGGACGAGCTGCGGCATCCATCCAGTCGACACTTCCTTCCAGAGATGGAACGAGCCATTAAATCCGTGAGCCAAGATGGCATCACCACCGGGACTCCAGACACCACCGTAGAAGCCGAATGCCGTCTGTCCGAGCTCGCCAACCGTGACTTCGTTCATCCAAATCCCCGACTTGGCTTCTGGTCCCCAAACCATCATCGTCTTGTCCATGGACGACGACAGAACCGACATTGGCTGAACTTTGTTCTTCAGAAGAGGCTGCCAGCGTACGGAGTACACCCAGTCTTCATGGCCAACGAGCAGCGACTCGAGAGAGATTTGCCAGATTTCTTTACCTGCCCGGAAAACAGGACCTTCGATGTAAGTTCTCAAACTGGGACCTCTCGAGGCAGCGCCAGGAGATCTCGAACGTATTTTCCAGATTCTGATGTTCCTGTCCTGCGAAGAGCTTGCCAGAAAGAGAGATTCCACCCCATCCTCTTGATGCACGATGCCGGAGAAGTCCAGACCACGGATCCAGTCTTGATGTCCTTTAAGTTTGCAAGCGTGAGTAAACTGGAGAGAAAAAAGAAAATTAGAGGGTGACAAAGCAAAGCATCAAACCTTTTCCAGTTTACTCCCGGCGTAAATGTTGATGGTGTTGTCTAAACTTCCGACTGCTAGTATAGTGATATCGGAAATTCCTGGTAAACGAGCCATTGCCACAGCCACCACTGGCCGAGATACTACCATTTCAACAGTGTCAACAAGCAAAAGGCTGCAGTCTCCTGTTAAACAAAGAAAGCTTTTAGCCAGCAATAAAAACGAAAATTGCAAACAAGAGCCTACCAGGAAGTAAAGAGGCACTCCATACACATACTCCGCCATCAGATGTGCTTGTCGCAAACAATGCCTCGGTGGATGAAATCATCATACTCGCAATGCAGGTCACTGAGCCTCCTTTTGAAACTGTTGCTTGCGAACCAATCCTCCACTAGAACATCGCAATGCAAACTCAGTCGAGAACGAGAAACTAGAAAACAAAAAAGAAATTCGGTCGCAGACCTTTTTCTGTGATGGAACAAACGACCACAAGATCACAACCCCATCCGCGCTTCCGGATAAAATAAAGCACTCACCAGCATCTGAGAAGAACATTCATCAACGAAAGAGAAGAGAAGAGATTAAAAAAGCCAGGAAGAGAGTTTTATGCCATGCCTGTTCCTGTATAGTCGAGCCATTCCACGCAGTTGACACTGCTCTTGTGACCGGAAAGCGATACAAGTATCTGCGATGCCTGGAAAACGGAAGCAAAGATTTTCTCAATCGACCACTGTGATCGTAAAACAAAGAACAGAAGAAAAACCAGACCTTTGGCGAGAAGATCCCGACAGAGGAATGCGTCGCAAATGCGACGAGATCGCAGCGCCCCCACGCCGCGGCTTTCACCGTTTTGTTGCAGCCGGCGCTCACGAACACGGCCTCCACCCGCGCCATCGCCATAAGCCCTATACCCTAGAAAATCACCAAACAAGAAATTCGACTTAAAAGCTTCCCGCGAAAAAATTCGCTGTATAAACTCGAGTTGGTATGCTACAAAACTGGCCTTTGAAGCCGATCAGTGAGTGTTCCTATCCTGCAAAGCACGAAAGAAAAAATTCGTCAAGAGAGAAAACGAGAGAGAAACCACCTTACCAACAAGAAAAATAAGAGACCTTCACCGCGTGAGCGATCTAACCAGGTTCAAAATCCTCGAGAACTCGAAGAACAGCACCGAGTGCTCGCCTCCCAACCCCGTCCTCGACGACCTGTTGTTCCCGGTGAGATTGTTGCAGGGAGAGCCGCCAATGACGAGATCGAATCCACCACTCTCCTCCATGAGCCGAGCCACCACCGCCATCGTCAAGTCCTGGACGTCGTCGAGGATCCGGTGCTGTCCAGTCTGCCCCGACGTCGACCACCACCTCTCCAAGATCCTCCTGTTATCGACGTTGGACTCCACGCACACCACGAACTTTAGCTTGATCCCGGCTCGATGCAGCGCCACCTCCGCGCCGCCGATGCCCGAGAAGAGCGAGAGCATCCGGATGCCGTCGGGGAAGAGCGGACGGAGCGCCGAGAGGTGGAAGCCGACTACGTCCACTTGGAATGTGTTGCCGAGCGACTTGAAGCGCTCGTTGATCGTGATCGCTCCTCGCGTGTGTCCGCGCTCGTAGCCAAGCGCTTGCTCGATCTCGTGTGCTTCCAGCGGCGAGCACGTCCCCGGCCCCGTCCACACCAAGTTCCACCTCCTGACGAGCGACATGATGGTCTTCTTTGCTTCCTCCGACGGCTCGCCCGCGGCCATCAACCTTTGGACGTTGCGGCAGAAGGACGCTGTGTTCCCGCAGGTGTTGATGCAGTTCAGCTGCTGCCGGGTGTCCCAGGCGGGTGTGTACTGCACCGTCGCTGGCAGGAACTCTCGAATGGTCTTTGGTGGAATCGGGAGAATCAGCTGCCTGTTCTCGAGCGGGAGGTTGTGGATGTATCCTCTTGCTCTACGAGAAACTGAAAAATGGCTGCAAAGGAAAAAAGAAAGCAAGAAAGCATGGTAGCTTTCGGAAAAATGAAACACACGGAGCTACCTCGCGCACACAAACTCTGGTTGGATACCGTAAAGCGAGTTGGAAATGATATCCCAGGATCCATTCGGCATCGTGCGCACATTCTCGAAGTAGAAGTACGGTTTCCTTGCTTGAGTAGAGGTGAGACTAAGAAATCCACAACAAATATCAGATGTAAAGCTCAAAAGAACGCACATACTTACCTCCTGGGAATGGGAGTCTCGGCCGGCAAGCCGAAACCTTTCAGTCGACGAGAGTGACGTTCCAGAGTCTCGTCCGGCGAGCCAAAACCGTTCAGTGGACGAGAGTGATGTTCCACCCGCGCTCGTTTTCTCCTCCGGGGAACTGCTACCTCCAGATCGTCCTCGAACGCGTCGAAGTCGCGAGCTGCGAGGAAATCGACAAGAACATCGATGTCCTCCGCCCCTGAAAATGTAAATCTTGATAGACATTCTTTTCGAACGGAAAAAGCTCACCACACGATGCAATTGCTTGTGACGCCTGCTCGTAGCTGTAGCCGAGTGTCGTCAATGTATCTAACGCAGTCATATCCTCGTCCTGCAGATAAAGAATTCTCAACACCAGAAAAAGTTGACATTTCTACCGGCTGAGCGCCAGATCCATGCTCAATTATATACGCAATGATCGTTTGAATCGCCGCTCCACTTCCTGCGCCAGATCCTTGCTCAAATCAGAAGCCAGAAAAGAAAAGATCGTTCTCACCGCAGCTGCTCATAGCTTCAGCGATGTCTTGAGTGGAAAAACCCATGCTGCGGAGGAGATCATTTCCAGTGCTATCGTCTAGTTCCTGCTTCAGAAAAGTTAGCAATGAGAAACCAAAGAAAGAAAAGAAAAAACTGTGCCTCTGAATCTCCAGTTACAGAGATAGCACTAGATGTGGATGCCACTGCCGGAGGAGCAACCTACACAAACATCCCTGTGTCAAAGAAACCAAGAAGAAACCAAACGAAAAGAAGACAAGAAAGAAAAAACTTACATCGTGTTGCATCGCAAGAATGTAGTCGATGATCACATCGTCCGGAGCGTCGTCGCCGTGGACGCGCATTGCAGCACAGGCTTGCTCCGCCGTGAAGCCCATCGTGGCGAAGGCCAGGGCGCGATCACTGGGCGGGGCATGATCGCGAGCGGCCGGGGCAGGATCGCCATCGCCGCTGTCATCATCGGAGCTGTATTCGACGATCGCCTGCAAGCATGGCGCAAGAATGTGGGTAAGGAAGCGGCACAGACGGTGGAGGAATCCAAACCTCCGGCCGCGCCATTCCCTCGCTCGCTTAAACCCTAAAACAATGGTTTGATTTGAATAAAATGCATATAAAACAATGGGGGTCCGCCCAGCCCAAGGGTTTAAAGCGCGAATAGCTATGGAGGGGGCGAGGACCGATATTCTCCCGCCGATCCATCCAGCGCTGGCGCCGCTGGGTTTTCTACTGGGATCTTGGCGGGGAGCTGGAGAGGGCGGCTTTCCCACCATCAAATCGTTCGGCTATGGCGAGGAAATTCGCCTCTGGCACACTGGAAAGGTACTTTGGGGATTTTTCCTTGGAATGGCTTGCTTCTAGAGGAGAAAGCTTCTCTTTTGCTCGATCAATTCCTTTCGCTGCGTAGAAAGTGTCCAAACTTGCGATTCCTTCTCGTTCGTTCTTTGCAAACTTTGACATTGCTTGAGTTTTCTTCTCGTTAGTTCCTTGCAAACTTTGACATTGCTTGAGTTTTCTTTTCGTTAGTTCCTTGCAAACTTTGACATTTCTCGAGTTTTCTTCTCGTTAGTTCTTTGCAAACCTTGAGTCAGTGCTTGCGTTTTCTTCTTGTTTGTTCTTTGCATTTTTTTAATTTTTTTTGCCATGATTTGTTTGCTCATCCGGTACTACGATGGACTTGTTTTCCAGCCAGTGATGGCCTACACGCAAAAGACATGGAAGGCATCGTCCGGGGAGCCTATGCACGCCGAGAGTGGCTACTGGAGGCCCAGGCCCGATGGCTCGCTCGAGGTTGTCATCGCACAAAGCACCGGTCTTGCGGAAGTCCAGGTACTGTACAGAGCGAATTTCTCGTTTTCAAGTCTCCGGACGTTCGTGCTAATGAAGCAAAACCATTTCTCCTGAACAGATAGGTACGTACGATACCGAGAACAAGACCGTGACGCTTCACTCCTCGCTAGTGGGAAACGCCAGCAAGGTTCTCACTCTTCAAGTTAGCAATCGTGTTTTTCCTTTCTCACGCTGTGCTTGGTTTCAGGTCACAGCGATTTCGAGGCGCTTCCAAGTCACTGGAGACGATGAGCTCAGCTACACGGTAGAGATGGCCACCTCGGGTACTAATCAACAGCTTATGCCTCATCTTCGAGCGGTCCTGAAGAAAGTAAGCTGATGATAAAGCCTCGAGAACAAACCTTTGAAGCACAGCAATGTATCTAAAGCTCGAGATTCCGGCTATGGCTGTGAGTCTTGTCTTCACTGTCCTAACATCAAAAACTATTCTTGTTCGCTATTAACTTGCATTTAGAATTCTTTTGCTGTCAAGTTTCTTACAGTTTCTCGCATTCTCTTTGTGCCTTTCGAGTGAGAAGTATACACAAGCAGCGAAAAAATGGACACTTTCTACGGTTCCAACAAGATCAAGGTTTTGTGATTCTCTTGATGCATGGAAGGTCAACGTTAGAGTAGAGCGTGTAGTTTCTCCACTTGTTGGGTTTGACCGTGGCATACTCGAGCACAAACTTGGTGGGCTTGAGCTCAAACGACTTAAACACACGCAGCAAAGCCGCTTCTTCCCGCCTGAGGAATCCCAGCACCAGCTTGCAATTCGCTCTGTTCTTGGTGATGCTCGTCACCGCCTCAAACAGCACCTCCAAAGGAATGTAGAAGAATGGAGGGTCAAACACGATTACGCTCATCGGATGATCTCGCTCGGACCCCAAGGAGGCCGGCATCCGCAAGTCGAAGTAGCGGAATCCTGGGAGGTAGCGGAAGCGAGTGTCCACGTCGAGCAGCAGCTCGGTCCGCTGGTGCTGGAAGTAGAAAGCGTGCGCGAGCGAAGGAGTCGTGAGGCAGCAGATCTCGCCCTCTTTGATCCCCTCGAGCGCCTGCGTCAACCGCTTGACCGTGGCCTCGGTCCAGAAGTACTGCTCCAGATCGTGGCGCTCCTGGAATCGATCTGCGAGCATGGATCGCGAGCTCGAGGGTGCGGATCGATTTGCTGCCGCCATTGAATTAAGTGCTGGAGCTGCGAGAGATGAGGAAGGATGATTGCAAGTCGAGTTTTAAGTTGAGCTTGCTTGGAGCACAAGGTACGTGACTTTGTCAACACGAAAGTGCACGATTTTCATTATAAATTAAATCTCTGAACAATAGTAATATGAGTTGGTTGATGGACGTGAGACGGAGCTTGTACGACCCTGTGAATATGGTGGATGGGGGATAAAATTTGTGGTCTTATACCTATAGAATGGAGAACCAATCCATTTTGGTTCTGTCCATAGCAGTATTCCAGGATATCTGGAGCTACGACTGGCAGTTCCTTTGAGAAGCAGTTTCAAACAAAGTTTCCATACCAGTGCGTATGAATCATAATTGAAATTAAAACATCTTCTAATGGTGTAATAGGCTGGATGAAGCCAAATTTAATTTTGTCACGAGTGTATGTTGCAAACAGGTCCTGATTTTGTGGCAACTCTTTGTACAACAACATGACAAAAGATGGATGATCTTCAGACCTCAACCGTCACAGAATCAGGGTTATCCAGGTTATCCTTAAGTACATGGCCAACATTTACGTCAACTGGATCTCCTATATGGATCTTGCACCGAGCTCTTGACAAGATGATGGTTGGTCTTAGCAGGTCGATAGTTGTTCTCCCCGGTACCAAAGCTCTTATAAAAATCCATATTGGCTCTGTCCATACTAGTATTCCACTACATCTGGAGCTACATCCTTTGCTTGATTCATAATAAGCAGAGAGAGAAAAACAAATCACTCCGATCTGTTCAGAAGCAAAGTTTGCATAAGCTAATTAACTTGGAGCTTCCTTGTGGAGAATGTGGTGCTTATCAAGGTGTAATCTTGACTTAAGACAAAGTTTCTGTTAATGGTTTCATGGTGTAGTTGGTCATCACGTCAGTCTAACACACTGAAGGTCTCCAGTTCAAACCTGGATGAAGCCAAATATATTTTTGTCACAAGTAACCTTTAGTCAAGTCTTGATATTCTTCATAATTAAATGGACAGGTAACAAAAGATAAAGATAATTCCAGCTAAACGAAAGACCATATGGATGTTAAGACGATGGTTGTTCTTTGCAGTTGATAGTTGTTCTTCCTGGGGCAACAAGCACATCTTGAAACCAAAGCTCTAATAGAATGGAGAACCTGGTTCTGTCCATACCAGTATTCCAGGACATCTGGAGCTCGATCCATGATAAGCAAGGAGAATAAAACAAATCACTCCGCTCTGTTCAAAAGAAAAGTTTGCATACCTTGATAAGCACCAACATTCTCCATGAGAAGCCTCCAGTGCTTGGATAACTTATTTATCGAAGAATATATTGTGGTCCTGGCTTAAGATGAAGTTTTGTTAATGGTTTCATGGTGTAGTTGGTCATCACGTCAGTCTAACATACTGAAGGTCTCCAGTTCAAACCTGGATGAAGCCAAATATATAGCTAATGGATCTCTCTCTCTCTCATTAAATCTAAGAACTCCATAGCAGCATGTCACCTATCAGTAACTTATTTTGCCTCCTTGGCTAAATCCTGAGAAACCGGTTTGCCTTGTCAAATATCAGCGTTGCCCTGGCCTTTCTATCCACAGGTTTCTTATCGTCTAGGGCTTTGACGCCAGAGCCCATTTACATTTCGCTACATACATTGAAAAAGATGACAAACGATTTTACCCCTGAAGTGAGAAAATTGATCCATGTGCACAGCAGAAATCGTTAACGGCATTATAATGCGAATATGGTTCGATCAGGTCCTCATGAGCAGCAGGGAAAGAAAAACCAGTCACTCCCTCAGTCGATCCATTAAAAAATAAAGTTTGCATACCTTGACGAGCACTGCGTTCTCCATGACAAGCTTTGATATTTAGGGAAGAATTTGCTCATTCTTCTATTAGACAGGCTTTTTGTTAATGGTTTCATGGTGTAGTTGGTCATCACGTCAGTCTAACACACTGAAGGTCTCCAGTTCAAACCTGGATGAAGCCAGTCACAATTATATGTTGCAAACCACAAATTATATCTGTTTTGTACAGGTTTGCTCAAATTATATATCATTCCAAAGATGCAGAAGAACTCGCCAGACGATCTTCCAGCTAAACGAACTCCCAGGTTTCTCAGCAATGCCGTCACAGAATCAAGGGTATCCTCTAGCCAGAGCTACAAACCCACCGCTAGAATCTTTTCTGCCACCTTGCTCCATCTACATCAAACAAAACGTCGCTACGTACATTTTTTTCCACGAAAAAAATGAGAAACAATTTTACCCCATACTGCTGCACCAGCGAGAAGATCCGATCCACATCAGAATCGCAAACAGCATGTTTGACGTTATCGATTTATATAAGAAAGCAAACAGCAGACCTTGGGGGATGTCCGACTCGATTCAATCGTCACCTCGTCAAGAAGTACTTGACTGGCTCCGGGTGGCTCGGTTCTACAGTAATGTCTCTCTCTTTCTGTTGTTTGCTCGGCCCCGCAAATATTTCTGTCATGAATTCCTTGGTCAGCTTGGCGGGGGAATCTAGGAATTTCAACGTACCATGGCCCTGTTCCGCATCAAGTTATGGCCTACACGCAAAAGGCATGCCCAGCAGGCACCGTCCGGGGAGCCTAAGCACGCCGAGGGTGGCTACTGGAGGCCCAACCCGATGGTTCAATCGAGGTTGTCATCGCACAAAGCACCGGACTCGCGGAAGCTCAGGTACTGTACAAAGAAAAGCTTCTCGGTTTAAGTCTCCGGACGTTCCTCGTCCATGAGTCACCTGACCAGATAGGTACCGAGAACAAGACCGTAGCGCTTTCACTCCTCGCTACTGGCGCATGGCAGCAAGGTTCTGTAGCCAAACTCTTGAAGTTAAAACATCGTACCTTTTCACGCTGTTTACCTCTATTTCCTTCGTTCCTGGTGCCAGCGATTTCGAGGTAAATTTTAGAGTCAATGGCGACGATGGACTCAGCTTGGCCACCACGGTACTAAGCAACAGCTGCTGCCCCATCTCCGAGCTGTCTTAAAGAAAGCAATCCGATGATAAAACTCTCAAAACAAAATCTCTAAGATTGCTTACTCTCAACAAGCTTGCATAATAAAATAACGTGGTGGCGATGCAGCGTACATCGGATAAAAGCGTTCAAGCTGGAAGGAAGCACAGCTAATGCATCACAGAGTAGTTGGAAGGATCTGCAAAATCGTCCCAGGAATTTTTATAGCCGTAGCCTCATCATTGGCAATGACGCATTCCAGCGACAATGCAAAGAAAGGACTAAAAAGGAGATGGCTGCTTGGCTCCTCCTTCCTACTGTTAGTAGTGCAGTTGCTTCTACTGTTTCGTAAGGTACTTACTTGACTTTAGTGTTAGCTTGAATGGATGCAGTTGCGCTTTTACTACTCCACAGTGTTGACCACTCTGCTGACGAGAAATCATTCATGCAGGTTGTTGTTGCTAAAATCTCCTACAGTAATCGAAGAGTCGGTGTTAGATTCCAAATTAGATTTCAGAGGAAAAAAATTGAAAAACTCTGCACGCTTCTTCCTTATCATATTATCTCCATGTGTCGAGTGAATAAACTAAGCGCCTCTCATCATGCTGGAACGAACATCGGTGACAGATCTGTCTTTCTGTCTCACGAGATTTTTCCAATCCTGCAGCAACTTAGCTTAACTCGAACATGAAGAACTCATGACTACGTATGAAATTAGAAAATTAGAAAATATGAATGGGACCGCTCACCTTCGTTCGCCCTGTCAAATCGCTTCTGTTTTGCCTGGATAGAGAGCTGTAATAACAAATGTACCTGTATACGCCCAAGAAAAACAACCTTTCTCTATGAGCAGCAGACACTATGGATACGCTCTGTGGGAATTGAAACAATTCCCAGCCAACTGTCGGGCAGGAATGGCTAAATCCCAACATGTGGTCAGCGAGACAAGACGGCATAGAACACATCCTGTTCGCTTTCCCGGCATTACTTCCGTTAACAAGAGATGCTTAGTGGAAGAAAAAAGCAGCCACAGACCTGTTACTAGTGCTGCAAGCTGTAGCATATGTCTCCTCCAAGTTAAAAACCAGAAACTCTTTTCAGAGAGCACTTTTTCGCGTTCACATGCAGCTGGCTGGCTCTGATTCTCATCACCACATTTCCATTTGTGTTAGCGGCACATACGTATCTGCTGCTTCGAAATCTCCTGTTTGAGAAAACTGCACAGAACCAAGCAGCGTCGCGTCCTCAGCGAAAAAGACAAACAAGAAAGACGATAAAGTGAGAGAAAAACAGACAGAGAAGCGAAGAGACGCATAGCCAGAAGCATACCTTGCATTATTAACGCATGTGAGCGTTCCCAGGGCACCAGAAAAAAAAGAGGAGAGAGAGCAAACAAAACAAAAAAATCTCTTGAAATCCTGAATGACTGAGCTCGTTTCGAGACCGAGAAAGGAGCTTAATTGATCTTACGGACTAGGCGACCCAAGAAGACGAACGGAGTCAAGGCAGGACTTGTTGAGTTAGAGGAAACCAGCGTGTCAGGCTGAAACATAGAAAGGAGAGAAAAGAAAAGTTAAAGCTTCAAGAGGAGGGATGCCTTGGCAAGCTTATGATATGCAATGAGGCAACGGTAGGTGAGGTACCTTCAGAGCTTATCATGACTTGCTGTATAATAGCTTGACAACAAGCCTCGCCCGCCGCTGCACAAGCTGTATATGCTGTATGGTGTACCACGACGGTTCAGTGCAGCACTTCCTCTCTTGCGCAGCGTTCATTAAACCAGGAGGAGGTTGACACCACGAGAAAGAAACACCTGCATATACAAACAAGCGAGTAAATTCGTTACTACAAAGGCATAATTCTCACATTACCTCCCGGCCTTTCTCAATCACAGCAATGCATAACCGTATTTCTTCTTTAGTTCTCCACCCTCTTTCCCCTGTCTCTCTCACACAAACAAATACGAAGACAAATATATCACATTCGATCCACGTACCTCCTATTACGAACCAGATGTTGATGTGCGCAATGCGTGCCTTCTGTAAATGATCCTGTGAGGAAAAAGGAGCAAGATATCAACTGGCCAGTGTCTAGGCGCGGAAGCCAGCTTTATGAACCGAAGAGGATCACATATACTGTAAAAATCTCAGCGAAGGAACTTGCATTGATTCGCACTTCCTAACAGTTTGCTGCCTGTCAATCCGCCAGGCACCGACCTCAGAATCAAAGAGAGGCCTCTCACTCCGCACAGCACCTAACTGTTACAACAGCAGCAAGATCACTCTTAAAGAATCAACCGAGAAACACCAACCTCACGCCGGAGAGTGGACGGGCATCAAGCGAGAGTTTCAATCGCCCTGATCAGGAGAAAAGTCCCACAGGTGAAGTCCCGTATCCCGCGAGCTCACGGCCAGGCACGAATCGCTAGCAACCATGTCGTTGTACATGTACCCCGTCTCCTCCCGCAATGAATACAGATGCTCGCCCGACGAACAATCCCACGCATTGACAGCCCCGGAGAAGCATAGGAACAGCTGTCGAGAATTCAATGTGCCAAATAGCTGCTGCATCTGATCCCGATCATCTGGCCGGAGCCTCGGATTCGCATGCACCCCCGGATGCCGCACCGTCAACACTTCCACCATCGTCGGCAATTCCCGTATCCGCGCAAGCCCCTCATACGACGCGCTCAGCAACTTGTTCCCTCTCACGTCCATGGCCTCCACGGCATTGTTTTCCGCCTCTTGATCCCTCTCCACGATCAGTGGCATCCCATGAGTCCCCAAGTCGTGAACTCTGATCCTCCGCCGGTTGGCAGCGACGAGCAGCTCTTCGTTCACTATCCTCACGCGGCCAACTCGCCCGGCTCGCTCCACGAGCATATGCCAGCCCCGCATTGCATCATCGTCAGTCATGTTGCCACCCCTGTACACCACCTGCTTTGTGGCAGCGTCCCACAACCGGAAGCAGTGCCCGACGCTCCCAGCGTAGAGAGCAATCCACCATCGCTGGCTCGCGGCGAAACTGATGAGTGCCCCGTCCTGGATCACTCTCCCCACATGAACTCTCACCCGGTTCCCTCGGCTGGCACTTGCAGTAAACACGTTCCCGTCCACTGACCCAAAAACGATGTCGTCCCCTTGCAGTGAGATCCCCGCTATGGCTCGCGACAAGGGACCGAAACCCTCCTCCTGGTTGGCTCGTAACGTCCACACGCACGCTTTGGTCTTGAGGTCGAAGATGCGAAGTGCTCCATCAAAGTGGCCCCCGACCAAGTAGTCATTGGAGATGGCCAGCGAGCGTGGTGGCTCGTAGTGCCTCCCGCCGGTCTCCTCCTCGACGAGGATCGTGTGACGGGCACGGCCTCGGCGGAAATTCGATGCGGTCGCGTGGGCTCGCTGGAATTCCCGCCGCCAGGAGCGCTCCGGCTGCCGGGCTTGCGTTGGCCAGACGACGTTGAAAGCGTTCTCCCATAGCAGTTCCGACTGTGAGACAGATCTCCAGACCGAGCAAACCTGGCGGAAAGAAACTTGTATCAGCGAAGAGATCTTTATAAAAGAAAATCGCGAGGAGAAGAAAAGCGAGCAAAGATCTTCCCGATCGAAATATCGACACTAAGAACAAGCAATCCGTGCAAGAAGATCGATGTTTCGAGCAGCGCAGGAAATCTTTCGGGCAGCCAAGCACACAAAGACGTCGATCGATGCATCGCGGATGTGGATCCATGCAATGGAAAGCCACAAACCTGAAATATGCACGCTAGGGTGCGCGACGCCGCCATCGCTCCATGCGCTCTCGCGGCCGCTGCCGCGGCCTCCACGGCGACGGCCTCGACGACAGATTCCGGAAGGAACGCCGCCGCGCCGCCGGATTCCACCATCGCCGCTGCGCTCAGCCGTCGGGGCGCGCTAGAGGATTCACCGCGAGACCATCGCGATATGGATGAATCTTGCGGCGCTGGAGAGGAGGAAGAAGGCTCCGCCGCGGATGAATGGCGGTAATCCCTAGCGCCTTGGCCTTCCTCGGGGAGCTCCTGGCCATTGTCGCCGCGCCGGCTAGAGGAAGACGTAGTAGTAGCAGCGGTGTTAGGCAACGAAGAAGCAGCCAGTGGCCTATCAGGCTGCCGCATTTTTACTGAAGGTGTGTCTCTATGGTAAGTGTGGCGGCCGTACGTCTGCCCTATTTGTGGGCCGGTTAAAAAGGCCATGGCCAACGGCACGTGTGAGACAGCTTGCCAATTCTCCGCCGTACGTACCGACCCGTCGCGAATTTCGGCCCGTCGCTGTCACGTACGGCCGCCGGCGGCCTAACGAACTCGCCAAGCGCCCTAAAAGGCGAGAGTATATTCCATGCCTTGGTATCTTTCACATGCCGCTTTCGAATATTCCCATCTCGGGTGTCCGATGTGGAGTCCGAGGTGGAGCCCGAGCTCTCGGGAAACGCGAATTTTTGTTTCGAGTCACGGTCTGTGAGTGTCAGGTTGACCCCATTCAAAGAAAAAAGAAAAGCTCCCTCGACTGGACGCATGGGAACGCTGCCAAGCTCCTGCCACGGAACACTAACTCTCATGGCTCTTCCTTTCATCTCGGCTTCCAAAATCCTTGGGCTTAGCGATCACTTTTTTCTACTGCTGCTGCTGCTGTCGTCGCTGGTCGAGCGACGGGAATTTGCGCTGTTACATGAGTTGCGACGAGTGAGAGAGTTTCAATGCAAAACCCGTGATGAAGTTAAGTGGTTTATCAAATCGAAGTGTTAGAATCCAGAACCTGGGGTATGTAGTGTAGCTGCCAGAGAGAGCCAAAGGTCTATCATAGAGGCGAGAGGAGCTTGGGTGGCACTGCACACATAATTCTTGCCCGCATTCTGCGAGAACACGTCAAGAGCAGCAAAAAGTGAGGCCAAGTGAAGCGAACATTCCTTCCTAACACCCACCAAAAAAATAGACTTTTGGTACTCGCATCGCCCGACGTACTGTCGACCGTGCACTGCGAAGGTTGCTCCTCGAACAGGTTGTTTCCCTGTTCGTCGACAACGAAAGAAGACGGCTTTTATGGGTGTTAGCAGCAGTAGAGTAGTACTTGGAAACCTGTTCTTTCTGACTCCTGGAAGAGCTTTGCTTTGCTTGTTTCCTTCCTTTCTGTAGCATAGATCTTAAAACAAAGCTATCGTCTTAACAAAGCTAGGAGCTCACCTTTTACCGTTCCGTCCTTTCCATGTATGCACCCTGTTTCTACGTAGCAGTAGCTTTATCTCCTCGAGAAACGATGTCCTGGTTAAGCTGTTGTTATCAGAAGATGCAGGAGCTAACAAAGCTTGCATAGCATACCTCGATAGATATTAGAACGGAATTAACAACGGATTCTTCTAGTTGGGACCTGTGTATGAAAGCAGTCCAAGTTAACCGAACATTCCCTTCTCGCAGCTCCTCTCACGCACATTACTGACTGATCTGATATTTCTTGGCTTTGAAGTTGTAAATCCTCTGGTAGTAGTCTATTCAGGCGCATTCACTGGTGGTTCCTGGCACTGCTATAATTGTTGCGAGGATTTCGTAACCATGAGAACGGGCCTCGGGTGCTCTCGCTATACAATTGCCTCTATTATTGTTAAGTTCTCATCTGTATGTAAGGAAGGACGCCAACCCACGCCGGAGTTCAGCTAGACATTGAAACAACCTTTCCAGCTGAAACTCCGAGGGAAGCTCTACTAGACTGTGTAGCTGCAAGAAAAAAAAGTCTCAATGAGAAACTGTAACGCCGCCATTTCAGAACAAACCTCCAATCTCCCATTGGAAAAGCTAAGCGAGGACTTTAAAGGTGGGGAGGCCATGGAACAATGTAGGACTTGAAATGCGTCGGCGTTCATGTTCGTGAGCATTGTTATTTGTTTCCCTCTCGTTTGAATGTGATGAATTCCCAAATCTGCTGCCATTCTCTTCGCATAAATGGTCTTTAGAAGAGCCTGGTCACAAAACACATTATTTGTAAGCTTTACAACATAATTACGTACCTCTAGAGGTGGTGGTTCCTTTCCTCTTTCACTGCGCAGTTTCTCCGTAAAACGAACAAGATCTTTGATACCTTTTTTCGCCGCTTCCTCAGCTGAATCAGTGACTGCTTCCCACTGCATGCTACTCAAGCTACAGACTTGACAGTTCGACTCCATTGCAAGCTGCATGCCATTGGTCAGGTCACATAGAAATCCACATGTGTCGTTTTACCTGCACATCTTCGTACTCTAGTTGAGGAAGACTATGGTATTGCGCCTAAACGGCAAAGATAGTCAGGAAAAGCTGTGAGAATTAACAGAATTTACCTTCGATATTGCTTCAAAAAGCATTTCTGCGTACAAGTCGACTCCAACTTTGCTGAATTCCCCGCTCTGTTTCTCGCCAAAAATGCTTCCAATACCTCTAATGGCCATGTCTCTTTCAGCAAGCTGGAAACCTTGGCCTAGTGCACAACAGTCCTCGAGTGCACTCAATCTTTCCTGGAACGAAAAGTTTCTATATAGAAAGAAAAATTAAGAGACTTTCGTACCAGTGCATCGGAACTAAGAAAATCCTTGGGTGGATGCAGCATATAGGCATGCGCTACCTTGTCTGCTCTCCCAACCCGTCCGCGAAGCTGATATATCTGTGCAAGTCCGAACATCTGTACATTCTCCACGATAATTGTATTTACAGTTGGAATGTCCAGCCCACTTTCAATAATGTTGGTGCATAAGAGTATGCTCGTCCCCTTTTCAGTAAACTTGGTCATTGTTGCCTCCAGCTCAGTTGCACATTTCTGAAGTCGAAATCATATACTTACGTTGAGATGCTCAAAACTTAATCACGGTACCTTGCCATGCGCAATGGATACTTGTACTCCAGGAACCAGCAATTTGAGTTTCTTTTCGGTGGACTCCATATCTGTAGAAAGGGTCTTAGTGTCATCATCAGTGACCAGCTAATAGAGAATGATCACTACTACCTTGAATCCTGGGTACAACATAGAAGACTTGGCCTCGTCGATCCAGTTCAGCCTTGATGGCATCTTTCACCATGTCCTGAGAGTAGACGCATACATGTGTCTTTATGGGCCGCCTTTCCGGTGGTGGTGTTGTCATCAAGCTGAATAGGGATAACTTCAAGCACATAAGTATAACACTCTTACGTGCAAAAGGAAAACTACCTTGCATCTCGAAAGCCACTTAATGCCATGTGTAGTGTCCTAGGAATCGGCGTCGCGGACAGAGTCAATATGTCTACTGTCGTCTTCAGCGTTGAAATCTTCTCTTTTTGAGCAACACCAAATCTCTGGAAAGAAAAAACGAAAAGGTATGCGTAAAAATGCAAAGGCAGGAATGAATGTACCTGTTCCTCATCGACAACCAAAAGTCCAACGTTTTCGTACTGTATATTGTTGCCAAGAAGAGAGTGAGTTCCAACAGCAATGTTTACAACCCCATCGTTGATTCCCGCAATAACCGCTCTCCTATCTACGTTGTTCTGCCATTAAAAAAATTCAAATAAGCATGGAACCTTATAAAATAGTTGTGCCATACCTGAAATCGGCTGAGAAGAGCCACTTTAATGTCTGGAAAATTTGCAAAACGCTCCTTAATGCTCTCATGGTGCTGCTTAGCAAGTACGGTCGTCGGAGCCAAAACCATGACTTGCTTCTTTGCGGAGACTGCGTAGAATATTGCACGCATAGCAACTTCAGTCTTTCCAAAACCAACATCCCCACAAATAAGCCTGTCCATTGGCGTTTCCGCGTCGGTCAAGTCTCGCTCAACATCTAAAAATGCCTGAGAAGCAAAACCACTCAGCATTTTTTCAAGCTCGCAAAAAAAACTCTTACCTTGATCTGATCCGGTGTTGGCGTGTACGGGAATTTCCCAGCGAACTTGCTCATCGCAGGAACGTCCTTCGAATACACGGGTCTCTTCTGCTTCAAACGACGGATATAAACATCGATCATCTTCACGACCCGCCTCTGAGCGTCCAAGCTTCCTTCAGTCCTTCGTTTCTCCCACTGGCTTCGATCATTTAGCTTGCTGAGAGCTGGATATCTTTTCACCGATTCACCAGGCCTACAAAACACGAGGAAAAACTATCTTAAATCCAGAAAACGAAGAAAAAAGAACTATACCTGAAGTATCTGTAGAGAAGTCGCCGAGCTTGCTTCGCGGGAAGCTTAGCCATACCATCAGCATATCGAAGATAGACGTACTTTTGTGGCGATTTTCCACCCTCTGGAACTTCCTCCTTGAGGCTCACAAACTGGCCAATTCCAACCTTCTTGTGAACTATATACTCCCCGGATATGAGCTTCTCTGGATCAACGTTATAGCTCATTCCCAGCTTCGCAAACTTCTCCCGGAGAGCCAGCATTCCCTTCTTGGGCTTCTCGTTGAGAATCTCATTCAGCCTCTTCATATCGCTCTTCTCCAGCGGGCTGTGCATCGCCGGCTCCTGCTCCAGATGCTTGTGAAGCTGCGTTAGCGAATCGATGCAATCGCCTCCCTCGGACGAGAAATCCCCGCTCAGCTCCACAAAGCTCTTCCTGCTGCCGTGATCGCTCCACGCCGGCGTGTATTTCCTCGCCGCGTTCTGATCGGCCAGGTAGTCGAGCTGGATTGCTTCCTTGGTGTGGACTCTGGCAAGAACCGGGAAGAATGCCTGCTGGAATCCGGCGCTTACCTTGGAATTCCATGGCGCCGATGCCGCAATGCCGCCGCTCGCCTCGAATGGAACGCTCCAGCATTGGACCGAGACGATCGAGACGGCCATGGCCGCGCTCCAGGGCTTAAAACCCCACGGCCAAATCAGCAAACGAAAGCCATTCCATCCAGATATTTTTTAACCAGCCACAACGGTTAACAAGTTAATACACGAGGGGACAAGCTAATTCACTCTAATAAATCACTTCTTACATGCTAATTAATCACTTCTTTTCTTCTTCACTTCTAATGGTATCTCCTCCACTGCTTTGTATGGGCTGGATTCGTCAAGAACTTGGATCACGAGTTTTACCTGGAACATCCAGTTTAGAGGCGTGAAAAAAAAATTATCGATCTCTTCGAAGTTCGTACCTGAGCTGTTTCACGAATGAGAAAATCTGCGATGGCTGCTCGAAAGTCTGGATCGGGAATGTAGTGTGCACTGTAAGTCGCGGTTGGAACGTAGCCGCGCTGGAGTTTATGCTCTCCTTGAGCTCCAGCTTCAACTTTTTCCAGCTTCCATTCTATTGCGGCCTCTATCGCCTGTGAAGGAGAGTTTCCAAATCCTGCTCATGAGAAAGAGAACTGGATCAAGTACCTGGTAGTAGCAGGCTTCGAAATGAAGCATCGGATAGAAAACATTGGGAAGGCTGCCCCAGTTACGGCCGTAGAGTGTGTCGTCGCCAATGAGATTGAGAGCTCCCGCCACAAGCGTTTCGCCATCCTCAGCAGTTACGAGCAGCACCTTGTCACCAAGTCGAGAACCCAGTAAATGAAAGAACTCCCTCGTCAAGTATGCCTGACCCCATCTGCGATGCAATCGAGAAAGTCAGCAAACTGGAACCGAAACAGACTTCTAATACTTACTTATTATCTGTCGTGTTGCGATAGAAATTAAAAAACGCATCCCAATGGTGTGCCTGGAAATACACGTGAACTCAACGTCGTAAGTCAGGGATGAAGATACCTTGATGTCATCTCCTCGGAGGCGTTTAAGCTTCAATTTTTGGTCTTGGATCTGAATGAACGCAAGCATCCAAAGTTGTTCAAGCAAAAAAAGAAAAAAAAGAAAAAAAACTATGCACGCTTGGAAAGCTCTTACCTTCTTGCGCTCTTGACGAATACGCTTTCGTTTGGTATGCCTCAAAGTCGCTAAAAAGTCATCAAAGCTGCAAAAGATAGATACACATCAATCACCAAGCACGCGAAATAAAATACCTTTTATAGCCGGCATTGAACCAGTGATACTGTACACCCATCCTCTGCAAGAAGTTGTGCTTGCCCATCTCTTTCCACTCATCTTCAGTTGCAAAAGTAACGTGAACAGATGACGCTTGAGACTGCAACTCAAACAATCCCCTGATTAGCAACGCAGCAAAAACACACCGAGAGTAACAGTTTACTTCGACAACACAGCCAGAAATGTGGTACTCGGATTCTCATACTTGATGTGCGAGCTCCCGCAGCGCCTTGCAAATGCCAGCGAAAACCTGCTGCTTCAATGGACCATGACGCACAAGTATCCGCGGCCCTGTGGCTGGAGTAAAAGGTACGCACGACTGGAGCTTTGGGTAATACATATGGCCGTAGCTCCGATAAGCGCTGGCCCATGAATGATCGAAGACGTATTCCCCGTATGAATGACTGCAACAGAAAAAAGAAAAGAAAAGCAGCTAAACGTATAGTAGCCTTCGCTTGGATCAAGCTATCACCTTTTCAAGTACAACGGGACCACTCCCAGAACCGCTCCATTGTCGTCTCTGGCAACTAAATGCTGTGGAAGCCATCCCTCGTCCTACAAAACCGCGAAACAGTAAGAAAAAAGAGTGAGAAAAGATAGTAGATCACTCACCGCAACAGCACTTTTGCTATCCTCTAAACACGAAAGAAATGCGTGGGTAACAAATGGATTCAAGACACCTCCGGCAGCGTCAAGCGCGCAAGCATCCCAATCATCCGCGGGAATCGTAGAAATCGTAGACACCAGGCTCACTGTAATCGTCGTAAGCTGATCGGACGAGCCCTGCAAAAATGAGAAAAATTCATGCACAAGAAGAGCAAAAAGAAAGAAAAAAAAAACACATGAAAAACCTGCGCCGCGACAACTCCATCGGACTGTAGTTGTGATGACAAAGAAAACTCTCTTTCCAGAGATTTTAAGCGCGGTTTTCCCCAAAACAATGCGCGGACGACACCATGTCCTCTAGATTTACAGGATTCCTGCCAAATAGCATCCATCAATCCAAGGTTTTGGATAGAATCGTCGCTAGCAAGCATAGATACCTCGGGCGCCCATGATCTTGGCAGCAAATGCGGAGCTCTGATGGTCCCGGCGGCCACTCCAGCGCCCAAGCCGCGCGCCGCCTCCATCGCCGCTACCTTCCCTGGCTAAAACCCTAAACAACGAAAAGAGATACCCGAGCAAATCCAGCCGCTCGTTTGCGTACGACCACCATGCGGGTAGTTCCTTCTACCACCTCCGAGGCACGGTGTATATTTTTTTCTCGTTTCGTTTCTAGAAACTTGCAAAGGAAAAATGCGGGAAGGAAGATTTCGATTCATCGCTTGTTTACAAATCAAGGAGGAGAAAAACGAAAGAAAACGAGAACAATCTCTCACCTCCATTCTCAGCTTACAGCGCCACGGGTTCTTTCACCTGGTAAAGAATTGCTTGAGAGGAAACGAATCGAAAACAAGATAAAGGAGAAAACAATGACGAGAAACTTGTTCCATATCCAGACCTGCTGTTTGCTCCAATCGAAAGATTTGTTGTCAGCAGCACGCGAGCGAATCTTGCTGCTGAGCAGTCATAAGGCAGTCCATGTAGAATGCCACAAGAACTTTGAAGCTTCTTCTTCAACTTCAACTTCTTCTTTTTCTCTCTTTTTCCTGCAAGGAACTTTGTTGCTCTGAATCGAGAGATCGTGATGCTGCTGATGCTGATTGAGACGAACGAATCGAATGGGGCTTTCCACAAAGGCTACCTTATGACTGCTCAAGAAAGACAAGATGAACTAGCTCCTGCTGGAAGAACAAAAAAAAAAAACCTGGACATTAGAAGCCACTGCAGCGCACAACACATTCGCATTCACAGAACACCGAGAGGAAAAAACAAAGAAAGAAAAGAAGAAGCAGAGTTAAGAAAAACAAATGCAAGGAAGAACTCGGTCACTTACAGTACCATAAACCATTAAAGGCCTTCAACATCCAAACAGCTGCACAACACGCTGCTGAGAAAAACTGGAGAAGCGGCACGGACATCTGGCAGGAAAGCAACGAATGGAAAGAAAGAAAAAAAACAAAATTGGAAAAGGAAAAACACTGTAAAAAACAAGAACAACGAAAATGAAAGCTTGCTAGATATCAATCCATTTATCATCAAACTCACTGACTGCCGCGCTGCTGCTGCAAAGATCTGGAGATTCACTCAAACTGCACAGCTCTAGAAACTCAATCAATGCACAAACTTTTCCAAGAACCAGATCAAGAACACCAACACAAAAGTTTAGTCCCAGAGAAAAAAAAGAGAGAGAATGTAACAAGAGTAATCCAAGAGCGAGGAGTCTACTGACAGAGTATCTATATATACACCAACAAACTGCGACGAAAACATTCCCATTCCGCGTTCAAATCAAACTTGTACGCTCCAAAAACCTTATCAGTAAGAAAAACGAGAAGTATCTCACCTCAAGCACTCAAAACAAAACGAGAGAAAACGAAACACAAGAGCCAGACTAAAACCACACTCGTATATATATGTATATATACAGCAAAGACTAGCAAAGGCAGCACCGGGAAGCAAAGAAAAGTATGAAAAAACAAACCCACCATACGTACTACAAAGCGTAAGGAAAGAAAAGAGAAACCACTAAGTTGTTGGAAACAAATAACGCACGGAAAAAGAAAAGAAATGATCGCTCGAATGAGATCAAACAATGCAAGCCAAGAAAACTCGAGCAAAAACACCATAGAGAAGATTGTTCCACCGCGCTCGCTCCTACGAGAGCTTTCCTTTTATCTTTGGAAGAGGCCCGAGGAGAAAAAACTCTCACAGAGCACTGCTGCATAGTAGAGCCTCTTTCACGGTCATGGCGAGTCATTTTCTCCTTCCAGCTACCAACTTTAAAGCTTCCAAAGCCAACAACGAGCAGCCTGGACCCGTGTTTCAACCAACACTTTGCTAGCTGCCTGGAGAAGTCGCAGAGCTTAACTTAGAAATAAGCTCTCCCATTCCATCAAACAGCAGCAAAAGGAAGAGAAGAAAAAGAGGAAGACGAAGAAGAAGAAGAAAGCCACAAAGAGATGGAATCTCGTCACAAAAAACAATGGCCAAATCGGCCCACCTCACATGCCAACTCTGCAGCCAGCGATGGATTATTGTGCCGGGTCACGAGAAAACACAGAACTTTAGCTGGAAAACCTTTGGACTTCATGGAGTACAAGGAAAAGAATCTGAAAACCATCAACCATGACAGCAGCAGTGGAACAGAAGAAAATGAGAGAACAGTGCCCGCAACAATTCCAAACACAAGCAAGAGCGACGACTGAGCAGAAGAAGAAGAAAAAAACACCGAAAAAACCATCCATCCCAATCGAGAGCAAGTTGAAGAGGCCCGAACAGAAAAGAAGAGGAAAGAAAAAAGAAAGGGAAAGGGAAGAACAATGGTGTAAGAACCGAGCCTAGCAAGAAATGCAAAAACGGGAGCAACATGCCCAATTGATCCAGAAGCTGGATCGACATCGTCAAAAGGAAATCTGACACTGCGGTAAAATCAATCAAACCACCGATCCATCCCACTGCATTTCTGCCTTTCAGGCATTTTCCTCCCCACCCAACTCGAGCGCGACCCTCCACCAAGAAAGAAATGGGAGATAGAGCGCCCATGAAGGAAGATATCCATGGAGTAGAAGAGAGAAGGAATGGATCCATGGCTTCACCAAAACCCCAAGAGAGAGAGAGAGAGAGAGAGAGAGAGAGGAGAAAATTGACTAGAGGCTTTCTAAATTTTACGTTTGACTATTACTTTTTGACCCAAGTGATTGGTTTGTAGAAAATGGAGAGAGAGTAAAAAGTAGAAAACTATTTCTTGACTAGAGATTTTCTAAATTTATGTTTGACTATTACTCAAGTTGATTGGTCTTTGTATTTGTTTAACTCTGTGTTGTTGTTTGTGCACAACCAAGAGGAATTATTTTCTTTTAGGGGCTGGCTGGACTGCCTGGCTGCTTATTCTTGTTCTTGTCAAGATCTTCCAAGTACTATTCTTCTGTTTCCTCCACCTTAAATACTTTACCCTGGGATTTTTTCCTCCAGATTTTTAACTCCTTTCCCTTGGAATGAGAGGTGAAAACGATTTTCTTTGGAAGGCCCAGGTTCAACTTCCACTGTCCTTTTGTGCTCGTCCATAATGCCCAAAAGCTGAGGAGGAGAATCTTAAAACCTCTTTTGCCTTTGACAATAAATCTCCCTCTTTCTTCTTTTCTGGCATTTGCCATTTTCTAGAAGCAAGCTGTTGCTGAGAAAGAGTATATACACACATAAGAGCGATCTGGAAGGATAAGTGGAGTTAGAGTGAACTTTGCAGCAAACTTTGCAAAAGAAAAGCCAACCTCAAGAAGGCCTCCACCGCTCTCGAATAATTGCCTTGCAAGGTTGTAAAGCAACAGTTCATTCAAGATGGTTGTTGTTGCTAGCAGGCGCGTGGAGCGGTGGTCCAAAAACCCAAACCGAAAAAAAAAACGCTATCGCGCTGCTGCTGCATACCTCCATAGGAGCTCCAGCTTGTCCGCTATCCAACGCGTACAGCGCGATTAGTTGCACAGAATACGTTTGCCTCTCTGAAACCGAAGGATTTCCCCGCAGATATGTCTTCCAAAGGAGATATCAGGGGCCTCAATCCCTGTAACTTTTGCCAGAGGCCTGTCCATATTCTCGGCTAGGTGACGCAGAATATATGCATTCTTTTGCTCGTCCACCTTTCTGCCACAAGACACGCGGATCAATACAACGTTGTAAATTCACCCAGCTATACCTTTTCTATGCGTATGATAATCCATGATAGCTCCACTCGTCTTGTATATACTTTCGCACTGGATCCGCCTGCTCTTTTAACTAGAATATATTCGTGAATCGTCGTCCTTTCAGCCAGGACAAAAACGATGCAGCCTGTACTCACTGCCACAGCAAAGCTTTCAAAAACTTTAGAAAACGAGGCGAGAAAAAACAACAAACAAGTGCATGGTCAACCTGATCGATACGGAAGTCCAAGTTAGATCGTAAGAGTCGTTACTGGAATATCGTAGTTAAGTCGCTGCACAGTTCTTGAAACTTCGCTGGCCGCTTCTCTTCGATGACTTGGCAGAGATACTGCCTCACGAGCTGTTGGGGAGGCGTAAACTCGCTTTGCTTCGCAAGTAGGTGTGCATCGTTCGAGACAGCAACACCGTGCAGCGCGCAAAACTCTTGCATATCATCTACCTGAAACACGTTTTCTATTTGAGCAATTCCAAAGCAGATAGAGAAAAGAAAACTTGTTTTCGCTTACTGTCATTAGCAGAAATTCCGCGATGTCAGATAGAGGAAAGGGATGAAGTTTGTAGGCACCGTAGTTTATCATTTTTATTGCAGACGCACGGACCTGAAAAAACAAGCATTCCTCGTTGTTCTAGTGGACGAAACCACGACACAACCACACACCTCATTAAAATAGAGTTCCATCAAGCATGCTTGCAAATACGTAGCCTTGGTTACCAACCGGAAGAACCCCCGAAAGTTATCTTGACGGTAACACCTACGATTACATGGTTAGAATATAATCTCGACAGACGCTGCAAACATAGTACCTTAAAACGCTCCGTGAAAACTCCACATCAGATGATTTCAGCAGCGCAGGCCTGACACTCTGAAACCATAGTGTAAGTTGTTGGGGCTGAAACACCAGTTCCCAGAGACGCATTAGATAGTGAAGTTTAGCAAAAGGAGTGTTACCTGACCCAAGTTAAGAAGCACATAGTAGCTGTAAAATTCAGCCTCGTTCTCGAGGCTTTTGCTGCTATCTCCAAGAATTAAATACAGATTAAGAAGGCTTAGAAGAGCTTTCGAGAGTTGTTGTTGGTTTAGATGGGAATCAAAAACTTTTCCAGATGTCCTCAGTTGCCGCAATTCACGTTCGGACACAATGTGGAAACGCACCTGCATGAGCATTACATCTAGTGAGGTTAGCACCAAACGTAAAGAGAACGCTTACTATGTTTTCATAAACGGAGACAGCCAGCTTGTCGGTTATCCGCTGCATACTTAGCTCTTGACGAATAGCCCGTGTTCGATCAAAGAGAAAATCATGCACCACTTCAAAAGGATAGTCGTCCACGTCCAGAATGCGAAGCAAATGCATCATTGTACGACACAAAACAGGCAGTGGACGTACGTCAGACTCCTTTAGAGACTTTCCGGAGAAAGTCCTACAGAACTACAAAAGAATACAAACGTTAGGACCACTAGTGCTTCAACTTCAGCACTAGACACACGATTGACATACCTTTTTCACAGCTAGCTCTTTCGTTGTTTTGCTCTGATTGCTGTCCAGCCTTTCGAACACTGCAAGATCTCTCAGCCGTGATCTCTTTTCCCGTTCTTCGGCTGAAAATTGCAATAGTCGTCACTATAAAGAACCCGAATTATATGAAGTAACTCACCAGGACACATATCCGGACAGTTCCCAACGATGTGAGGCCAGTCGTCATCATTTTCCCGTGTTAGAACCGCCTGCCTGTAGAGCATAAGCAGGTAGTCGCTGCTAAGTTTGACGGGCGAGTGTTTTCTGTCCCTGGTAGAAGAGGGCTCTCCGAATTCACCAAAGTTTTCAGAGTTGATGTTCTCTTTAGGAAATTCGTGAGTTGAAACCCCGTGTGATCTTGTTTCGGCGCTCTTTCGAGGAGAAAGTCCGTGATCTTTGGAGTTCTTCACGTGATCTGAACGTTTCGTCCACCTTTGGGAATTTTTTTGCTCGTTAAAACTTTGCTGCTGCTGCTGATGGTTATTTACGTTACGAAAGGAAGAGCTGTTCCCTCTCCCATTGCCTCGATAAGGATTCCTCTCAAAGGAACCTGCGCCATTTCTTTTGTAGTAGTCCTCGGAACCGCGAGAGCTTTGGATATTGCCACTCCCGTATATCTGAGCTGCGTAGTTTTCACGTCGGAAGTTTCCATAACTGTTGTTGTCGAAGTGGCTGCTACCACCTTGACGAGGATTAGCATTTCCTCCTCTTCCGCCACGAAAGTTCTCAAACCTTGTGAAGCGTTGGCCACCATCTTGAAAGCCAGGATTCTCGAAGTCACACCTTTGATCACCCCAAAACCTTCCACCACCCCTCGCATTTCCAAAGCCATCCCGTTGATCACTCCAAAACCTTCCACCGCCCCTTGCATTTCCAAAGCCACCCCTGTGATCACCCCAAAACCTTCCACCACCGCTCGCATTTTGAAAACCATCACTTTCAAAGTTTCCTTTCGGCTTGAAATCCAAGTTCCCAAACTGGCCGTCAGAGAGATCGCTTCGCGGACGCCTGTAGTAACTATCTGCAGTGCTCGGCCTCTGGATCCTCTCACTCCCATCATCATCAGCTCCAAAATCACCTCTCCCTCCACGAAATCCTCGACTCTGGGTCATCATTTTGGTCGAATTCGATGACAATTATCGGGAAATCATCACGGATGCCCCACCGCTGCGCGATTACCCAGCCGCCACCGGCATTGCGTCCGCAATCGCCATCGCATCTTCCACCATACCTTAAAGAACACGAAATCGTCCCCTTTGCCGCTCCATCGCCACAGCAAAACCCTAGCAATTGTTCTTCCATGATTGCGTCATCCACTAGTATAACAAATCTTACTATGGATGAGAGGGCTCATTGTGTAGAGCTTATTAAATCGTGCACAACCATTTACAAGGCTCTAGAGGTCCACTCCAAGATCCCCAAATCGATCATATCAGACACATACGTTGCCAATCTTTTGATTAAAATGTATTCTCGCTGTGGGAGCTTAGATCGCGCGAGGCAAATCTTCGAAACTTTGCCCACCAAGAACGTCTTCACTTGGGCAACGATGCTTTCCTCGTACGCTCACGGAGGGAATCTGGGAGAAGCGAGGAGGATATTCGACGCCATGCCAGAGAGGGACCTCGTCTCGTGGAATGCGCTGCTGAGCGCATATTCTAAGCTTGGGTATCTGGAAGAGACACGGGCATTTTTTGACACAATGAAAGAAAAGAATCACGTCTCGTGGAATGCGATGCTGGCTGCGAATATACAACACGGCAGCCTTGAAGATGCAAAAGGCATCTTCGACAAGATGCCCGAGTGGGACACGGTATCGTGGACGGCGATGCTCGCGGCATATGCCCAATCTGGGTATATTCTATTCGCCAAGCAGCTGTTTGACGGGATGCCCTTCCGGGATTTGGTGACGTGGAACGCAATGCTTTCTGGTTATGTCCAAAGCAAGAATATAGAAAAAGTACTTTTCCTTTTTAATTCCTTCCCGGAACGAGAGCTAGTCTCGTGTACCACTGTGCTGACTGTATATGCCCAAGCCGGGCATATGGAAGATGCGAAAAGAATCTATAAGGCCATGAAGGAAAGGGATCTGGTCACCAACAATGCGCTCTTGTGCGGATATTCCCAGTATAAAACCTTGGAAGATACGAAGTGCTTTTACGACAATATGCCTGAGCATGACCATGTTTCTAAATCTACAATGCTCTCTGCATTTGCCCAAAACGGGTATCTAGACGAATCTCAGGCACTTTTAATTAGTGTAAAAGAAAATCTTATGGCCCAAACCAGCATGCTGTGCGCATATGCTGAAGATGGGCGTCTTAGCGATGCAAAAAGAATATTTGATGCGATGCCTGAAAGAGATCTCGTTGCATGGAATGCAATACTCTACGCTTATGCCCAAAACGGGCATCAAGAGGCCGCGGCAAGTATATTCCACACAATGGATGGCCGAGATGCGATTTCCTGGAACGCAATGTTATCGATGTACGCTTGGCATGGTTTGCTTGCCAAAGCCGAACAAATATTTTACACTATGGAAGAACCAAACATTAGCTCTTGGAATGCTTTGTTAGCGGCATATGCCCAAAGAGGGCACCACCTTAGAGTTCTTGAAACGTTTCACTCCATGAAAGTTATCAACGATCCAGATGAAATCTCGTGGATTTGCGGACTGCTGGCATGCAGCCACGTAGGCAGTGTCAATCTTGGGTGGTGTTTTTACGTATCGCTCAACATCGACTTTGGTTTCCAGCCGAGCAAGCAAATCTATAGCTGCATGGTCGATCTTCTTGGAAGAATGGGGTATATGGAAGATGCAGCGGATCTTCTCCACAGCATGCCATTCGTTCCAGATTCGCTGGACTGGACAAGCTTTCTGGGATCATCGATTGCGCACAAGGATTTCAAGCGCGGCGTCAATGCAGCTGGGCTTATTCTCAGGCAGTATTCCCACAATGGAGGAGCTTACATTGCTCTTGCAAGCATCTACTCATCGAGGCGGAATGTTCAATTGAGCAATAAGGATGCATTTAGTATGTGATTGCCAAAAGTTCAAGTAAATAGTTTTCGGGAAAAAAATCTTGTTTGATTTTGAGAAAAGAATGAATGAGAGAATTCTAAGTCGCGAGGAAATCTTCAATACTGTGAGGTCATGCAAAACTCTCTCGTCTGTCAATGCAGTCCATGCACAAATTCAACCAGCAGGCCATGCTAATGACGTCTTTCTCTGGAATCTTCTTATAGATGCATACGGGAGATTTGGTGACGCTGTGTCTGCTAGAAAGATTTTTGGCAATCTTGCCGGTAAGAACATATACTCATGGTCTTTGATGCTCTCCGCATATGCCCGCAATGAGCATCTTGACTTGGCTGAGGAGGTATATGCTGCAATGCCTGAATGGAATCTTGTGTGCTGGAACACACTCCTCACGGCTTACAAGCAGCATTCGCGTGTGGAATCGGCAAAGCTTCTCTTTGATTCCATCCAAGAAAGAACCCTCATGTCGTGGAATCTTCTCTTAACGGCATATACCCAAAATAGGTATCTTAAAGAGGCGAAGCTTCTCTTTGACAAAATGCCCGAGTGGGATCAAGTATCGTTTACGTCTATGCTGACTGGCTATGTCCGTACCTCAGACATTGGCCAAGCCAAAGCTCTGTACGAAAGCATGCCATACTGGGACTTGGTAGTGTCAACAGCCATGCTCTCTGCATATTCTCTGGCAGGGCATCTGGAAGATGCGGAGAGCATTTTCTACAGGATGCAAGAGTGGAATCTCGTGTCTTGGAACGCAATTTTATCAGCATATTCTCGGCATGGCTGTCTAGACGTTGCCAGGAAAATCTTTGATGGCATGAGAGAGAGTAATATCATATCTTGGAATGCCTTGCTCTCGGCATATGCCCTCAAAGGCCATGTCAAGCAAGCCAAGCTAGTTTTTGATTCCATGCTTGAGTGGAATTTAATTTCTTGGACTACAATGTTGACAGGGTATTGTCTAAACGGCTGCCTAGAAGAAGCCAAGCTTGTTTTCGACAGTATGAAAGAGCGAGATTTGGTATCGTGGAATGCCATGCTCTCGGGATATTCCCTAAACGGGCATTTGTCTCTGGCCGTAGATCTCTTTCACAGAATGAACGAATGGGATCTCGTGTCGTGGAACACACTGCTCACTGCGTACGTACAGTCCGGAAGCATAGATGATGCGAAGAATCTCTTCGACTCAATGCCCGCGAGAGACATCGTATCGTGGAACGCAATCCTTGCCGCGTTTGCCCAGCGAGGGAATCTGTGCAAAGCGAAAGAAGTGTACGATGCAATGAAAGTGCACGGACTGATCCCGTGTACGACACTGATCACCGCGTACGGAGAGACTGGGAATCTCAAAGAATCGAAAGGTATCTTTGATTCTATGCCCCAACAGGACCTTGCATCGCACAACTCATTGCTCTCCGCATTTGCCCAGAACGGGCATTTGGAGGAGGCCAAGGCACTGTTTGACACAATGCGGGAGTGGAACCTGGTGTCGTACACCGCGCTTCTAAACGGCCACGCCCTGTACGGCAGCCTGGACGAGGCGCGGCGGGTGTTTGACTCGATGCACGACCACGACCTCGTCGCGTTGACCTCGATGATCTCGGCGTACTCGGTCAACGGGCACGTACGGGAGGCGGCGGCGCTGTTCAAGAGCATGCACGAGAGGAATCTGTTTACGTGGAACGCAATGCTATCCGCATATGCCCGAAACGGGCATATACTGAAGGCGAAGGAACTGTTCGATGGAATGCCGGAGCATGACTTGATCGCTTGGAACGCCCTCCTCGTCGGCTACGCTCAAGCTGGCGAATTCGATCTTGCATCGCAATCCTTCCGCGAGATGAGCGCGGTGGCGATGCCGGACGAGAGCTGCTTTGTTTGCGGCTTGCTGGCTTGCAGCCACGCTGGAGACGCCGCATCCTGCTTGAGCCTGTTCGTGTCGATGACGTTTGATTTCGGGAGGATCCCGGCCAAGCAGCACTTCTCGCTCATGGTTGACGCGCTCTGTCGATCGGGTTACCTCAAGGAGGCCGAGGATCTGATCGAGAGCATGCCCTTTGTTCCCGACGAGGTGGATTGGAAGTGCGTCCTCGCTGCGAGATCGAGGCAAAAGACGAGCAAGAACTCGCGACTCGACCAGGCGTTTGCATCAAAGAGGGTTCTCGAGCTGGATCCACAAAACCCAGCCGGGTATGTCTTCCTTGCGATCAACATGGAGAACGCGGCTATCTCAAGCTTGTAAGCATATAGAACAATCGAATCGATAACTTACTATAACACATTTATGAGATTGATGGAACAAATCCAAGGAAACGTTGTCCCAGAGAATTTCAGCTCTCTTTCAGCGCGAAGCTTGCGGTGGAGCAAATTGCGCCGGCACTGGCAGCCAGAGTGACTGTCCGGTTGATCTGAGACTCACTGCTTCACTCAAATGGTGTTAGAAAAGATCTCTAATGCGAGTGTGAGATGTCTCACCTTAGAACAGGCGGAGGAGCGCTCAGCTGTTGCGAGAAGTGATGGACGCGACCGGCAAACTTCTCTACGTCAAAATTCTCGTCGGGTGGAGCGACGCAGTGTCTTTGCATCTCTTGGACTTTCCTAATGGTGTTTTCCTGCAGGGAAAGCAAAACAAGCTCGTGGTGAGATAGAACTCATAGATAGATAGATATTTCACGGAATGAGAATCGATTAGACTCACCAGGTTGGAGCCCTCTGCCGCAAGAGTAGCGTCCATGTTCATAAACATTTGCATCCATTGACCGTCCCGTCCGATGTGACCGGAAACAATGACGCCGCGAACATTTCTCCTGCTCCTTTTCAAGGCTGGGAAGAAAAACGAAAGCACAGAAAATCACGATCCATCCCACGTTACAGAAATAAAGTAGCTGACCAGCTAGCCGTCCCTTCAAGTCGAGGTGGAGAAGCTCCAGCCAGCGAGATGCTACACTCACGGCTGCACAAAAGGCGAGAAGAAAACAGGAAGAGAAGTTTAGCACCTTTACGAAGAAACAAGAACACCATCGCCAAACATACCTGCGCTTGCGAACAATGGTGTCACAGCGGCCGCAGAAACATAGTTGTTATCCTCCGGTTTCCTCTTCCTAGAACTAATTTGCGCCAAAGGGAAAGAATTCTCCTTGTCATGGCCCTTGTTGTCATCTTCTTCTCCTTCTCTACTTTGATCCCTTGCTACATTCGACTTCTCGCCGCTGGAGCAAGACTCCAGCGCCAGGAACAGCAAATCCATACTGCTACCGCCTTCAGACTGCGTCACGAGAGCCAGGGTTGTATGGAATCGAATCGATCCCAATCTAAATCCAAGAGCTTACCAGTGGCGCGAGAGGCTTTCTTGCCGCGGTGTTGACAGTATTGACGCAGCAGCTCGCCAGTGGCTTCATTCGCCCGCCGTGCACGCCATCGTCTTCCTCGTCGCTCTCCACGGCGATGCGGCTACTCGCTCGAGGCCGAGATCTCTCTCGCCTGGCCACCGAATGGAGGCGATTCGAGCGGCCCCCAGCAATGCCAGCAGCAGCCACCATAGCCTCGCGCCTGGAAGACCAACCCTAGCAAAGGGAATGCGCGCCAGAACGCTAAACCCTAGCCTGGGGAGCGCGTATCAAAATCTAGCCGCCACTAGAGGGAACTCATTTCAAATGCTGCTGTGAGGGAAACCGGCTACTGGCGGTGATGGTGACCGGATGTGCCGGTAAAAGAAACGGAATCAAATGGCATATTCTCAAGGGACCAAATTATTCTCATGAAGTTTTAGGGTTTGTGAATAGCGGGGGCGATGGGCGACTTCAAGTTCCCATATTTCTTTGATTATCCGCCTTACTTCACGTAATCGTGTGATTTCCCTGTTGCTCGTGTGCGCCTTACCAAGATTTGTTTTTTTTTTCTGGATTTTTTTCTACTTTTTTTCTTGATGAAAGATTGCAGCCGGTCCAAGACACCAGAGAAAAGCAAATGCAGCTATGGAAGGAGCTCATTCTCAGGTATTGCCAACACCACAAGTGTTTCATCATCAATCTAGAACAGGAGTTCCCTCTATTCCAGAATTTGAGCATCCAGAGTATGTCGCTTCGCTCTTCTTGTAATTTTTCCTCAGGATGTTCTTGTGATTTCTCGTGATTGATCACAGGAAAACTTAGTTTTGAAGCTCGAGAGATGTTTCTAGCAGCTCTGGTTGCCGAAGGTATGTTCCTCTTTATTTTTCCTCTTGAGTCTCTCATTTCACTTTTACAAACACAGGGAAAGCCGAGTGGCTCGACAAAGCACATAAGAAGTGCCTCGTTCTCTGGCGGTCGATTCAGGAGTGGAGCGAGATGATCTTGCAGCTTGTAAGCCAAACACTCCTGTTTGCTAAGATCGTTTCCTCTTGAACTTCCGCAGGTTAGAGACAATGCAATGGAGGATGGAGTTCTAACGCTCGACGAGATCCAGTCAGGGGATGAAAGCCGTGGAACTGGTAAGGAGTTTTGCCACTAGTTTTGTGATCTCCTCGCTTTGGTTTTTTCTTCGTCCGCGTAGAGCTAGCTGGGATCGATCGTTTCGTGCTGGTGCGAGCACTGAAGCTCCTCGAGCAACGCGGCAAAGCGGCCATGTTTAAAGGCAAGGCTGGAGACGACGAGGGCGTCAAATTCAGTGCTTCATAGCGTTTGCTAGGAAAAAAACAAATTAAAAAAAGGAATTATTAATTAAAGACACAAAAAAATCGTTTAAAAAAAAGAACCCTTTCCATAAAAAGGTGGTAAGGGTTCATTCATTATTCCCTTTTGGATAGCCTAGTATAAATAGGGGAGAAACATTAGTCGTATCCTAAAGAAAAGAGAGAGAGAGAGAGAGAGAGCAGCCATGGAATCCTTTGGAGCTTACACAGTTGGGGCAGAGCTGGAGCGTGAGGCCTACTGGCCAGAAGCCAAGCTCCGGATTTGCATCACCGGTGCTGGAGGATTCATAGCATCGCACATTGCACGGCGGCTCAAAGCCGAAGGCCACTATATAATTGCGTCCGACTGGAAGAAAAACGAACACATGAGCGAGGATATGTTCTGCCATGAGTTCCATCTCGTGGATCTGCGCGTCATGGACAATTGCATGGTGGTGACAAAGGGCGCGGATCACGTCTTCAATCTCGCGGCCGACATGGGCGGGATGGGTTTCATCCAGTCGAATCACTCAGTCATCCTTTTCAACAATACCATGATCAGCTTCAACATGCTCGAGGCCTCCCGAATCAATGGAGTCAAAAGGTGTGGATTCTTCTTTTTGTTCTGAGAATTTGGAGCTCACTTTTCCTTTTGGCTTGCAGATTCTTTTACGCGTCCAGCGCATGCATCTATCCGGAGTTCAAACAGCTAGAAACGAACGTGAGTCTCAAAGAAGGCGATGCATGGCCGGCAGAGGTATGTGAAAGAAAGAAATCCTTTCTTTCTGATCTGGAAGTTCTAAAACTCTTGTTTTCCTTGCAGCCCCAAGATGCCTATGGGCTGGAGAAGCTGTGCACCGAAGAGCTGTGCAAGCACTACACCAAGGATTTTGGAATCGAGTGCCGGATTGGGCGCTTCCACAACATCTACGGGCCTTTTGGTACCTGGAAAGGTGAGCTTAGATTCTTGGAGCTTCCTTTTTCTTCTCTTGCTCGAAGCTTAGAGTGTGATGGGTGACTGACAAATCGATCTCACAGGCGGACGAGAGAAGGCTCCAGCCGCGTTTTGTCGCAAGGCCCTGACTTCCACCGACAAATTCGAGATGTGGGGCGATGGTATGCAGACGCGATCCTTCACGTTCATCGACGAGTGCGTGGAGGGCGTCTTGCGACTCACCAAGTCCGACTTCCGGGAGCCGCTCAACATCGGCAGCGACGAGATGGTGAGCATGAACGAGATGGCGGAGATGATCCTGGGCTTTGAAAACAAGCAAATTCCAATCCAGCACATCCCCGGGCCGGAGGGAGTCCGCGGAAGGAACTCGGACAACAGTCTGATCAAGGAGAAGCTGGGCTGGGCTCCCTCGATGCGACTGAGAGATGGGCTGCGAATCACCTACATGTGGATCAAGGAGCAACTTGAAAGGGAGATGGCGGAGGGATCACACGACTTGGCGGCAGCTTACAGCTCCTCCAAGGTTGTGGGAACTCAAGCTCCAGTCCAGCTCGGCTCACTCAGGAAGGCCGATGGAAAGGAATGATGAATTCCTGACTTGCATAGGTTTCTTACAAAGAAACACAGAAAGTTGACTAAAATTTGACTGTTCACCAAATGTCCTAAGAAACCACTTCTAAATGTAATTCTAACTCGCCTTGGGGATAGTATATCTCATCTGTGAAGTTCTATCTGCTTCTCCACTAAGAATCTAGAACAAGAGACGAAGAAATCCATTTTTTATCTGGTAACAAGGAGAGAATAGATGCGCTTCACCTGAAGCGATTGTTTGCTTCAATAGGATTTTATGACACTCGTCACTTGAACGTCATGTAGCATTCTCCACACATGCTTACGTTGAATATCATGGTGCCTGAGAGCTACGATCTTGAATAGGGACAGAAACAAGCAAGAACAAATGGAAACTCCCGCGAGTTCATCTTGTTAGGGAGCTAGAAGTGGGATGCTTCGCATTCGCTCCATGATCGGTACAACGTGTGGCTTCTCGATCTTTAGACCTAGGTTCCTGCATTGATATTCACCAATCTAAAACCACTGTTTGTGTTGCGTGTTGCGAAAAAGGTCCCATACGTCTTCATCTTTGTAACTCTGAAGCATCTAAGAACGATGTATCATTGCCTGCATTCTTTTTAGTTAAAAGTTAATATATTCAATTTCTCTCTTAAATTTGAAGAACTTTTGTGTACATAACAGCTCCTCCAAGGTTGTGGGAACTCAGAATAAATACCATATACAATTGTGTGACTTGCATTTCTTGCTTAAGAAATCACCTCTCTAAACGTGATACTAACTCTCCTCGGTGATAACAAGTCCCGGTTCTCAATCTCATGTGTGAAGTTATATCTACTATCTCCGGTAAGTATCTAGAACAAGAGAAGAAAAAAATCCGATAAAATAGAAGACAGAAGTTTTGATTTACCTGTAGAGATCGTTGCTTTAATCGGATTTTGTGGCACTCATACGCACCCCTTTCTCGCTTGAACGTCATGTAGCATTCTCCACACATGCTTAAGTTGACGATCAATGTGCCTGAGAGCTAAAAACACTTGTGATCTTGAATAGGCAACGAGCAAGAACAAATGAAAGACAGCTGGAAAGGATTGAGAGAACCTGGCGATCATCGACGTGAGGCCGCAGGAAGTGTCCGGATTCCCTAATATACTCCAGCGAGTTCATCTCGTTGGGGAAGAACTCGGCTAGAAGTGGGATGCTTCGCATTCGCTCCATGATCGGCTCCAGGACGTGTGGCATCTCAAACTTTGGAGCTAAGATTTTCCTGTGAACAAAAGCATTGATCTCCACAAATCTAAGACCAAAGAAAAACTCGGAAAACACAAGAAAAGAAAAAGAACAAACCTTTTGCCTAGAGCCATCACAAGGCCGTAAGACTTGCCATTGTTTAAGCCAGTGAAACTGTAAGGCTTCCAGAGATTCCTAGCATCCGAATCCATTGCAAAGATGAGCTTCTCCTCTTCCTGGGAGATCAAGTGCGTCAAGAGAAAATGGTCCAAAATCAAGGCTTACCTCGCAAGATATAAAGTTTTCAACGAGCTGGTATCCATTCATAACGGAAGGTTTGGGCTGGACACGCGAAGAAGAAAGTGCCACGAACACCGACGAACAAGAAGCTTGCTCGTCGAGACAAATGGTTTCTTCTCTTCCTGCCGATAGTAAAACCTTGAGCCCAAGTTGAGAAAAAAAGAAAAGAAAACAAAACAAGAGACTTGCCAGTGAGAGGTGTTTGCTTTTGAGACGCATTTCTAGCGGGCTTGCAATCCAGATCCAGATGCACATTTATCAGTGTGGTAGCCACCTTGAGCTGATAAACAAAATGGGATGAGTATTTGGACAATTTACTTAGAATTCAGCTGATAAGATTTATTCAACCTGGATTACTACCAAAAGAGAAATAAACTAAGAACCTGGCAAGCTGGGCACTCAACAAACGACGATGCCCCGGTGTTGACAAGCCTCTGTTGCTGAGGTGACGCCCTCGATGACGATTTCTTGAGCGCCCTCTTCTTGGGAGCTACCTTGCTAGTCGGCCGCATCGCCTACAGCCCTAAATTCTTGTGCATTTGAAACAAATGTGAGGCATGGAAGAAAAAATCCAAGCCGTGGAGGCACTTAAGGATACAAACTCTTTTGCTCAAGTCCAAGCCTGTAGAAGGACCCATGGATATTGGACAACAATCTCTGTTGAATCAAAATATAGTTTTGGAGAGTATTTGCATTGTTTTGAATTATCTTAGTGACAGATCAAATAAATAAATAAGCACTGCTGGTCTAGTGGTAGAATAGTTCCCTGCCACGGAACAGACCCGGGTTCGATTCCCGGGCAGTGCAGGTCACGGTCACATTGCATAGTTTTGTTTTCGGGCAGTTTTCCAATGGTTGTTGCGAAACATTAACAAATGTCAAAATGTGGCCTACAGCTGCAACCATGAGAAGAAAAAGGAGAACAAAAGCTCAGTCGGTCAATCCCCGCGCAGTCTTGTATATGCTGCTCTGCAGCTGCATCACGTACGCAATGCGACAAGGAAGAAAACAATGGCACACATAACCGCACGTCGGCTTAATCTATATACTTTCTCGCTTTCAATGCAAGCAGCATAGAAAAATGCATGAGAGCAAACAGGAGAGGCACTCCTTCCACATGCACTCCACGCCAGAAAAGCACGGCAAATGCAAGCATTCGAACAAGAGAAAGGCTGCAAATTTTCAAGCAAACCAGCGACAAGCCCTCACAGGCGGACTGACTATGAGCAAGTTGCAACACAGCGCATGAAGCCTTACAGCAGAGGAAACAAAAAAACGAGGAAAGAATATTAAAACAATCAGCGAGAGAGTAAAAAGAAATAGAGACATACACTACCTATTGTTATATGTTACATCATCCCAGTCTTCTTCACGCATTACAGGAGGAGAAAAAAATACATCTGTAGAAAGAAAGGCACAATGAGAAAGAGGTTTGACAAACGTTGTAATTAATGCGTAACATCGCAGTCACAGGCACAGGCACTTGCGTGGAGTACAAGCGGGAGATGCGACGAGTGGAGGGAATATATGATCGGGATCCACACGGAAGCACAACAGGAACGCACAACAGGAAGCATGAAAGATGGAAAGAAAGCACTCAGTCGATATAAGTACCTTAGAAGTTGCGTCGTTTAGAGTCAGTGAGCGGTGGAGGCGCTGCGGTTATGTTGGCCTTGCTGCTTCATCGTCTGCTTCGCTGAAATCTCTGCCGAGAATGGCACCCCCGGCTCCACCTTCTCGTGTGAGTTGGAGACCTGGCTCTTGGCTGTCTTGCAACCGAAGCGTCGAGAAACCAGCCCAAACGGCCCCTTCCCCCCCTTTCCCAGCTTCTCAATCTCCTGCCGCATCGTCGTGCATTCCTTCTCAAGCTCCACCACCCGGCTCCTCATTCTGTCCATGTCCACCTTGAGGACCTGGTTCTCGCGGATCACGCTGGCCCAGCCGTTTTGCAAGCTCGAGTGACCAACGCCGCCAGCGTTTTCCACCAGGTGCGAGGAGCGCAGGGGCCTCGACTGATCGACGTTGTCGGCAACAAGGAAGCAGCCGGCGATGGCGGTCCGCAACTGGAGCTGCTCGAAAAAGAGGACTTGCACCACCACCCGGAGTGGCAGCCGCTCGTTCTGCGCCGCATGAGTGCACGCCTCCAGGGAGAGCTTTTGGCAGTCCATAATTCGGCAGATGCGCTCTCGCTCGTGCTCCAAAAGCCATGGATGTGCCTGAAAAGTATTCCCAGCTAGTAAGTATATCGCTCTCCACTATTGGACTTTTATCATCATGAAGTTCACGAATTGCGAATCCAGCAAGCAACGTACCTTCAAATAAATATCGATCGCCCTGTACAGCCCATCGTCCATAAGTCTGGCGTACTCTGGTAGACATTCTGCGAGCGATTGGAACTTGGCCGGTTTCAAGTTGACATCCGGAGCAACCTCGGCGAGATAGTTATCCATCTGCTTGGCCACCATCATCATCGGACTCAGCTGCGGCGACCCGATCAACGGGCCATCTTCGAAGGACTGAATCGACGAAGAGGTTGCACGAGCTTGGTCCATCATAAGAAAATGGTCAAGTATCCGCTGTACCGTATCGATGTCATACAGCGTCTCCACTGTGTACGAGTAATTGGGCATGAGGAGATCGTCGAGACTTGCCTGTTCCATCTGCTGGCCGATCCTCCTCTCGAGGCTGCTCTTGCAGTCCGCATTAGCCGAAAGTATCATCGCGATCCGGAGCAGGCCGAACAGGAACCTGGTCGAGACGACGCCTTTCTGGAGGGGCAGCAAGCTCTCAATCGTCTCCAAAAGAACCTTTTGCTCGTTCTCCGATAGAGCATTCGTCACCGGAACGATGGACAAGTTCCCACTTTCTCGCCCGTCCTGTCTCCGACTTAGTCCCGGGAGCTGCTTCTTTGCATAGTACATGAGCGCTCCCGCGATCGCGTCCCCCCGGATCCCCTTGGCTTCCATTGCAGAGATCACCCTCTCGTAGAGCGGAAGACTGAGCAGCGAAACATCCTCATACCACCAATCCGACCTCGGGTTCTTCGGCTTTGCCCCTGTGCTTATCCCGTTCCAGAGAACACTCCCCCCGGGACTCTGCATTGAGCCGCTCTGCTCCATCACCGGCCACCCAAACAGCGCTGGATCGGTGCAAGCTTTGCTGGCGATGGAGTCGATGCATCGTTTGACGATCCCGAGCTCCTCGGCCTGCTGGAACACGTCCTCGCAGCTCTGGAGCGCCCGGACCGAGTCCTTCCAGCTCTTGAGAACCACCTGGTTGAGGAAACTATCGATCTTGGCGATAAGGTTCCCTTCCACATACTCCTCGGTCATCTCCAGGTACTCGGCGGCGCACCTCAGCGCCACCGCATTGGCCGAAGTGAGCTCCACCTTGACGGCGTAGCAAAACTTGGCGGCGAGCTCGAAGGTCTCGGCGCCGCCGGGGACGCCAGGAAGAACGATTCGATTTCCATCGCCCGCGTCGTCATCTAGGAGCTCGGCGACTAGCCGCGTCAATCTGCCGCTCCTGGACATGAGCGGGAACTGGGAAGAGAGGAAAGATTCGTGAGACTAGCACTAGAACTAGAATGAAATTGCGCGAACCTTGTGGAGGTGGAACGTCATCTCCTCCACCTCGATGACGATGTCGCTCGGAAGTCCCGTCGTGCAAAACCTGCCGTCCAACAAACGTTTGATGAGACCACTCGCCTCCCTCAGCAAGAAGATTTCCAGCGGCATCGCGCAGCCACTGGAGCAAGGGAAATCCGGAGAAAGAATGGAAGACGATCTAGATTACGATCGATCGGAGAGGAGGTATTTCGTGCAATGCATGAAGAATCGAAGAGCTAGAGCGCCTTACCATGCCTGCCCCCTTCTCTGGAAGCCGTCCGCCTTGGATCCGAGCTTCATACACGCCATTCCGGATGGAAATCTGGCGGCCTTCTCACCCAGCGATCGGCATTCGAGACTCAAGCTCGCTCCTCCATCGCCGGCCGATCGACGAAGAAAGGATTCGCTTAAGCAAGAAATGAATTAACAAACCGAACGAGACTAGAAACCCTAAAGAAAACCGGGGTTTTTGCAGAACTAGACTGGATTGGAGAAACGCTTTGGCGTCCATTAACTTTCTTCTTTCACGGAAATGTTTTACTGGCCCCCCGTGATGCTCGTACGGTCGGTACGTGCCCTGGCGTATCGCGCGTGCCACCTGGTTTAATCATGTCGGGGGAGGGTAAAAATCAAAACGCCCGCAGATGAAATGAAGGAATGTGGAAGTCGAATAAAGTAAATTTTCGCGGGTGGGAATTTCCCGGGATTGGATATAGTGACCCGTCAGCCATTGTCTGTGGGCGTCATGCATATTCGCCAAGCACAAGGAAACAAGATTCCATTGGGGCAAATTTTTTAGAGCCCGATGTTTTGGCGGGCTTTAGGTTTTAAAAAAGATTTTCTAGGCATTGGGTAGGACGCCACCTTCAACAAGTCAAAAGGCACTCAACAAACTTGCCTGATGGATCACCGATCCTTACAGTATCATGCTATGATTTGGTTCCACTTGTTTAGGGTTTCTTGTCCAGAAAATTGGAAATGGATGCTTCGATCACACAGCATGAGCTTTCGGTTGGTTGGATCTGGACTTTGCAACAATGGAAGTTTCAAAAGGAGGCTCTACTTTTTCTTAATGGTAGAAAAGTAGCAAGAGATTCCCTCCTCATGATCCGGAAAGGAAATGCTAAAGCTTTGATGATTCCTCGGAATAATTAGCTAACAGGACGTAAGGCGCGCCATCTCCGGGTGCCAGCACTAGCATATTTTGAGCTGCTAAAGCAGCGATGTAGTTTGTGTTCGTCGCTCTAGAACATCCTCCAAGCAAAGCACCCCAAGAGACTCTATCTGGCTCAAATGGCATATTCTTCACAAGATCGTCTGCTCTGGAGGCCTGGCCCGACCTTGCAAGGATATCGATTAGCGTGCAATAATGTTCCCTCCATGGCTCCAAGCCATAGTCCGCCACCATTTGGATAAAATAATGCAATGCCAGTGACACCATTCCAATGTGGCTACACGCCACCAAAACGCTCATAAACGATATGGGATTTGGATCTTGGCCGTTGATCTTCATGTCGTGGAACGCATCTAGCGATTCGTGGGCGTGGCCTGTGTGGGCGTACCCAGCAATCAGAGTCGTCCACGTCACCACATTCGTTTCGATGGTGGCGTCAAAGATTCCCCTGGCGCGGATTTGCCGGCCATTACGGGAATATGCCGCGATCAAGGCCGTGGACGAGATCACATCTCGCTGTGGCATGGAATCGAATATTTCTTTTGCTTCGTCCGGGTATCCACCCACCGCATATCCCGTGATCATGGTATTACAAGAGATGGTAGACAACTTTGGTATGGAATCAAATAGCATCTTTGCCTGATCCGTATGCCCGGTCTGGGAATATACCTTTATCATTGCGTTCCAGCACGCTAGATCCCTCTCTGGAGCATCCTCGAAAATTCTTTTCGCCTGCTCCACGTCGCCTTTCACCACATAAACCTGCATCATAGCGTTCCACGAGACAGAATCTCTCACCGGCATCATGTCAAACATCCTCTTTACTTCTAGAATATGCCCAGACTCGGCATAAGACGTTATCATAGCGTTCCAAGAAACCACATTGTGTGTGGGCATCTTATCAAAGATTTTCTTAGCGGCATCAGTCTGTCCATTCTCCGCAAACACCGTTATCATGGTGTTCCAAGTAACGTCATCTTTCGCAGGCGCCTCCTCAAACGCCTTCTTGGCCGCTAAAAGATGCCCATTTTGGGCATATGCTTGGATCATGGCGTTCCAGGAGATTATATTCTTCTCGGGCATTGTGTCGAAAATCCACCTGGCGTCCTCCAGCTGGCCGTGCTGGGCAAACGCTGCCAGCATGGCAGTCCACGTCACGACATTCCTGTACGGCATACGCCCAAACACACTCCTCGCTGACTCAATATGCCCGGCTTGGGCATATGCTTGTAAGATGCTCGTCCATGAAACCACGTTGGGATTTGGAGCTTGGTCGAAGATTCTCTTGGCGGAGTGTAAGTCCTCGTTGTAAATGCAGGCCTGGATCATAGCGTTCCATGCCGCTATGTCCTTCTCGGGCATGGAGTCGAAAATACCTTGAGCCTTGGAGAGATCCCCGAGCTGGGCATAAGCCACGAAGAGCGTTGTCCAGGACGCTAGACTTCTCTTGGGCATCCGGTGGAAAATCTCCTCAGCCTCCGCAAGAGACCCATTCTGGACGTAAGCTAGCATGAGTGCGTTCCTCGAAGAAACACCCGGATCGTCTAAACGGTCGAAGAGACCGCGAGCGTCTTCGATGCTCCCGCAGCTTCCATAGAGTTTGATGAAGAGACTTAGCAATGCCTCGTCGTGGCATTGGTCGCTGATGAGCTTTGCATGTAAGCGCTTGGCCTGGGAGAGGTCCTTGGATCTCAGGCATGAGTTCACCAGGTAAGTTACCTGGTGAAGCTGAGAAGCTGGAACTTGAGAGAGCATACCTCATGATCCAAATGATCTGTAAGCCACTTGAAAGAGTTACTGAGAATTGCCACAAAACCGAGAAGTTTACCTGATATGAACTGAGCGAACTCGTGACGAAGCTGTGCCTCGAACTTTTCTCCTTCATGTGAATCGATCGACACTGTCACAGCTACAGCTCGTCTCCAAGATGTGGTCAGCAACGCTGCTTGCTCTCCGAGCTTGGATTCTCTCAAGAACATCGGCAGTCCAGGACGAGAGGTGAGACGAATTCAAGCCGACCGACCTGTCTTTGTAGAAGAGAAAGCACTCGAGTACCTGGGTCTTGGTATCGTAAGGGCAGTCCGGACCATCGGGGTCTCTCCAGGCTCCTTCATGCTTGAGCCCAGTCCAGTCCGCTAGCCACGTATAAATGTACTGCCCGACTCCCGCAAACTCTAGCCAGCCTTTTGGAAAGAGTTCCATGACACTTCCACCCCTCGGCATGAACATCATGTTTGTGAGCTGTGCGCCGTGAGCAGTCAGAAGAACGTCGCTCTTGCTCATCACTTCCACCTGAGTTCACAGAACCATAGACATCAACTTCCAGGAGAGTGAAAAACCAAGAGCCAAGATACCTGTTCGCAAAAGCTCAAGTTGCCGATCGAAACGATGTCGAGTTTGCATCCCTTGACCATTGCACACTGCTCCGAGACAGCACTAACAACACCAGATAAGTTGCTGAATTCTCTCGGCCCCGACCGCGCGACGAGAGTGATATCAATCCTTCCATCTTTGCCGCCGAGAACGAAGGACCTCGGAGCAACTTTGCAAAACTTGTAGACCTTGCAACGCACCACATCGAAGAGCCTGTTCATCCTTTCCTTGGACATCCCACCGAGGCCCCTGCGCTGGACAATGGCGTCCTCAAAGCACACCGGACCGCTTCCATACGAGCTCAAAGTGTCTGGCCTCAGCTTCACGCCCATCGAAGCATGAAGAACGTTGGTGATCCAGTCGCCCATCTTGGTCACCATCTCTCCCCAGTGGTAAGCTACGATCCTGGCCGGGACTTTGCAGCCATTGTCGACTCGCCAAGCCGCAAAGTTGATGATCGCGGACATGCTGTGCCAGGGATTCACGTAGTCCCAGTAGTTGTCAGCTACGAGTGTCAATCCTGGGAGATAAGTTGCGCCATCCGGTAAGAAGCCTTTCCACGCGAAGCCATACTTGTTCATGGTTCCATTGTGAGTGTGGTTGCCTTGCAAGCACAGTAGCCTCCCTTGAGAAATAGTTGACGGGAAGCGAAACTCTTCCGGCTTGCCCTGATCATCCACAGAACTTCCGTGGAGAGAGCTCATGAACCAGATGGTGTCGCCCTTGGAGAGACCCGGCTGCGACAAATCCTTGAGCTCCATCATCGTGAAACTGTGCTTGAGGTGTTCGCCCACCACCTGGAATTCGTGCCGGAGTTCTTCGAGCTCTTTCTTGGCTGTGGAGTATTTCTTCTCGTTCTCGTCCTCGAGCATTTTCTTGGCTCTAGCACACTCTTCCTGGATCTCTTTTACGGTTTCTTTCTCGACTTTAGAAGTGGAAGATCCATCATCGCCTAGACCAGAGTTTAGCACGGAAGGAACATCGTCGCTGCCTAGAGAGACCGAAAGTACCTTTTGCAAACACTTCGCCATGGCGGCTTTGTCGCTGGAATTTCGAATGCATGCCATGGCCGCCCCTCTTGTGGACGTGCGCTCATCTGGATCTTGAGCGGCTTCCAATGCAGCACAAATTCCTCTCGTCTCGATCGTCACAAGCTGGAGAAGAATGAAAGCCAGCAATATGAGAAGCACGCAGACGAGAAACCTGTTCGCTTTCGTCGCGACTTTGATCTTTCCCAGAGGAGCACGCTCGTCCATTACCACAGCTCTTCAAATCAATCCCTGGAGCTCAAAACCCTGGCGGCAGATCTAGCGAAAAACCTGTGACACCACGATTTCTTGATGCGACTGGCGTGATCGTGCAGCAATGCGATTAAAAAACTGGAGCATTGCACCGGGAAGATCCACAAATCTCTCTCGCGCTAGCTCTAGCGGCGACATTCTTGCCCATCGAAGAAAGTGATCACAATTATAAAAAATTCACAAGCCTAGAATAAAGGTACATAGACACGTGATATGCCCTCGATGACACGGCATGGTTTAAGACACGTGTTATCCACGTAGGTTGACCTAAAAGGCGATACTAAACGATTAAAACCCACTAGGGGAGGTCAAGGGCAGCCTTTTAAAAGAGGCAGCAGCCGCTGCTCAGGATCATCGACAGCGCCGCGAAGAACACATCTAGATCACGATGCAGGCGCCACATCTCCTCCTCGAGGAGCCGATCCGCCTGGCCTCAATCCTGGAATCGTCCCCATCGGTAATGTGTTGCTCGATTCGATAGACCTAGCTCTCGATCGCGAGCTAAAGTATCCATTGTGCTCCCAGGTGCCTTCATTCTCCGCGATGACGAAGATTATCGGGACTCTGGGGCCGAAATCGCGAAGCCCTGAGGTTTTGGAGGGACTGCTCAAGGCTGGAATGTCAGGTGCTGGAATTTCTTCTATGTTGTGAGTGCGTGGTTGTAATCTTGCTCTGAGCAGTGGCGAGAATCGACTTTTCGTGGGGGGACGATGCCTACCACCAGGAAACACTGGAGAATCTTAAGAAGGCTATCAAGAACACGAAGAAGCTTTGTGGAGTATGTATTGGATGGTTTCTTCTTTTTCTTTCTTGGTTGCCCAATAAGTTAGCTCTTGTATCTCTTTCTTTTATAGGTGATGCTCGATACAACTGGTCCAGAGTTACAAGTAGTGAACAGAGGCGAGAAAAGCATCGCCTTGGAGGCTGATTCGTTGGTAACATTGACTCCTGACGACATGGTCATTGAGGCTTCTTCTGGAATCCTACCCTTAAATTTTGCTGACCTTGCATCGGTAAGTGTCAGCTCGGCTCGAATGTATGCATTGCTAACAGGCCTTAACTCAGGCTGTGAAACCGGGGGACACAATCTTTTTGGGTCAATACCTGTTCACTGGAAGTGAGACAACTTCCGTGTGGCTAGAGGTTTGCGACATTTCTGTTGTGCGTTTTCGTGTTTTGACATGAATTTACGTAGGTTGCGGAAACGAAAGGGGATGATGTGATCTGCACAGTTAAGAACAGTGCTACTCTAACTGGCAGCTTGTTCACTGCTCATGCCGCTCAAGTGCATATTGGTTTGCCGACACTGAGTGAATCGGACAAGAAGGTAGGCGCTTGATGAGGTTGAGATTCACTGCTTGATGCTTTGATGAATACAGATAATCTCCACATGGGGAGTGCGTAACAACATTGACTTTGTATCGCTTTCTTACACTCGACATGCTGAAGATGTGCGAAAGGTGAGTCTCCCGCTGAAATCTTGAAATTTTTTTTAGCTGGAGCGCTTTACAGGCCCGAGAGTTTCTTGCACAACTCGGAGATCTTCAGCAGACGCATGTTTTTGCAAAAATTGAAAACATCGAAGTACGTTTCGAAATCTATCAATCAATGTTGTTGGTTAAATGTTTTCGTATTACAGGGGTTGAGACACTTCGATGAAATATTGAAGGAAGCCGACGGCATCATATTGTCACGTGGAAATCTGGGGATTGATCTCCAGCCCGAAAAAGTAAGAGCATCGTCTCTTTAACTTGATGTGTGGCTAACGTCTCCGTGCTTTCCCAGGTCTTTCTTTTTCAAAAGGCAGCCTTGTACAAATGTAATATGGCTGGGAAGCCAGCAGTTGTAACTCGTGTCGTGGACACCATGACTGACACCCCAAGACCAACGCGTGCTGAAGCAACTGACGTGGCTAATGCTGTTCTTGATGGTGCGTGTTTTTGTCACTTCTGCTCATTTGCATGTTTCAAATTGTCTTTGCAGGTACCGACGCTATTTTACTCGGGGCAGAGACACTACGCGGACTCTACCCGATAGAGACAATCTCTACAGTGCGCAAGATATGCGCTGAGGTATGTATCCGAGTTTTTTCTTCGTTATTTTTTCGTTGTTTCTGGAATGCTAAAAACCACTATTGCAGGCTGAGAAGGTCTACAACCATGCTAATTACTTTAAGAAAACCGTCAAGAAAGTTGGAGAACCAATGTCTCACCTCGAATCCATTGCGTCCTCGGCGGTGAGAGCTGCTGTTAAGGTCAAGGCGTCCGTTATTGTTGTGTTTAGCTCCTCTGGACGCGCTGCCAGGTACAGTCTCTTCATTGAGCTGGATTGCCAACAGTGTGTCTTTGCTTCCGAGCAGGCTTATAGCAAAGTACAGGCCACCAATGCCTGTGCTCGTACTTGTTATTCCAAGGCTCACTACGAACCATTTGCGCTGGACGTTCATAGGAGCTTTCCAGGTACTCACGTTGGACCTCTTTCCTTCTTTGTTTATTTTAAGGACTTGTTTAGGCAAGGCAATGCTTGGCTGTGAGAGGGCTATTTCCAATGCTTGCGGATCCTCGCCATCCGGTACGTTTGATACAGCGTCGATACGTTTTACTGGACTGTTGTTCTTGCAGGCCGAGTCCAATAGCACTACAAATGAGTCGATTCTTAGAGTGGCCCTGGATCACGGCAAAGTGGCAGGAATCATCAAACCTCACGACAGAATCGTCGTGTGCCAGAAGCTTGGAGACTCGTCGGTCGTTAAGATTATTGAACTCGACGACTGAGAAAATGCTCGCTCATGAATTTTTGTAGCATAATAACGCAGATCATTCTGCATGATACCAACATTTGCGCTATAGTGAATAAAAGATTTGCTGGTTATGACTGCATTTCATTTTAAAAAGTCGTATCTTTGGTTTATGCTCGGATTGCTATGCCCATGCGTGTTGATGGAAGAAATTGTGAATCCTGCCAATATTTGGAAAATAACAAAGTAAAATGATATGCTCAAGCTCTCTCGAGGATTTGTAAATGCTCTTGGACTGCTCAAGCCATATGCTGCAAATAATGGGAAACAATATGGCAACAAAACTAGAAGAATCACTTGAACTTCATAATCTAGTGACTAAAGGAAAAATGAAACTTTACTAAAAACCAGAACCTAGCTGGGAATTTGCTCATACAACCCATATCCAATCGAGCTTTCAGTATTTGTGTTATAGCCAGTGAAGATTGCTAGCTCAAAGAAATGACATCAAACTTCAGCCAGCTCCTTTTCTGCCTAGCATTTTAGTTGAAAATAATAACTTGTATTTACAAAAATTAATAAATAGTATAATTATTAATAAACCATATTATTTTAAATTTAATTTTTTTAGTAGGATTCTTATCAAAAAATTTATTTTAAAAGTGATAAAAAAATTAAAGATATACAAAATAAGAGATTAGAAAAGGAATAAGCAAGCCAAATGTTTCTATAATACAAATTATTAACACCCTTTAATCTTATCAGACCAGAGAATATTTTTTGCAATGATATACAAGTTGCATAACTTAAGTTTGTTAGGAAAGATGGTTGAATTAGTGTGGATTTCAATCTTTATGAGAGATTTAATGGGCATTTGGTCTAGTGTTATGATTCTTTCTTCAGATGCAAGAGGTCTTGGCTTTAATTTGCAAGTCCTTTGTGTATGGAATCTTGCATAAATGCAAATAGAAACACACTTGAGTCTCATGAACCCAATTTATAAATATTTTGAACATATTGTTACAAATCCCATCACAAAATTAGCATTTCATTGCTTACCATCCTGATTGTTAAGTGTTGGAGTGAGTTTCATATGGGAAATGCTTTTATCTTTGCACAGAAATCTTGATTCACTAATATACCTTTCGTTGATCACTCTCGAGCAAGCAAAGTTTGTAAGAAACTGCTTGTAAGTCAAAGTTATGATAAAATAAATTGATCTAGTGAACAAATCTTGAGGGTTAACTTAGCTTGAAAACAAGACTCTGTCGTTCTAGGTATATCTGATGATCTGTGTGAAGTTGTTTATTTCTAACAGATTAAAAAATGTTTTCAAATTTATCCATAGCTCTTTTTTATCAGCAAGAGAAAGTAGTGCTTGTTTTGCTTAATAGGATCCTTAATCAGTTTTAAAAATATGAGATTCTAAAAAAGTAAAGTGTATAATTGTGCTAAAATCCGCATAACAGCCACTTTTACACATTGATAGTTATTACTTTAAATTTGAACTTTTGAAAAAACCTGTAAAGGGACTCAGATGGCCTAGAACATGCTAGAATATTCTAGGATATTCTACCATCTAATAGCTGTTATTCATTTAGATTAATCTTGTATTTATAATTTATAAATTTGCTTAAACACTTTCTAGTATATTATTTTTTATTCTACCATCTAATGGCTGATATGCAATAAGATTAATCTAGTATTTATAAATTATAAACAAGTTTATAATTATAAAGTTTTATATGATCAATTAGATTCATAAGTAGAAATAACACTACTATTAGGCAAACCAAGCATTACTACATGCAACACATAGCAAATTATTAAATATATAAATATATTAAAACAAAGGTAAATTTTATTAATGACTTTTGCTAAGCACCTCCTTATAATTTTATTAAATTTCTCTTTTCTTTAATTATTAATCTTATTTTCAATTTATTTTAAATGTATTAAGCTGATTTATATTTTTTTACTTATAAAATAATTAAAAAGACTATAAAATAAAATAAAATATTCCAATGAAGTGTTATATTTTTTTTTCAGAAGTATATCCTTCTCAAATTGATGCAAGTGATTTTGATGTGTTATCTTTAGAATC